TCCCAATTTAATTCAAGAAGCACGGCTACACGTCTAGAAAATTCGCATTTATTGGCAACTAACGAAAGTATCCGATGCCAGTTAAGTTAAATTGAGAGTAATGTATCTAACAACAGAGAGAATAATACCGCTGCAATCTTTCTCTAATAACGATGCAAAAAAATACGATTCATAATCATACATTTTTCAGTCTGATGCGATATGGAAACCACATAAAAAAATTCGGTAGAAAAATAAACTAATTCTCTCTCATTGTATCGGCAACAATGGCACGCAGTTTTTAATAATTTTCGTCTTTCTAATCAAATGGTCGTAAAAGCTCGATTTCCATCCAATATTTCGCCTATATTCAATTTTAGTCGATTAAATGTGGCAAAAAATTTATCTTAATTGCTCAGAAATTAATAACGCGAACAAACAAACAAACACACAAACAGACCTTCTTTTTATATGTATAAAATTTTTAAATCTTACAAATTTTTGATTAACAAATTCTACGATTTGAAAGCGAGCAGTAGCAACACTTTTCGAAGTAAGGAAGTTTTATCTCCAGCGTGTTTTCGGCTGATTAAAGTGGTACGAAGTCGAAATAGAATGAATATGAATAGTCGCTGAATAGTCGAAATGGCTTCCCACGAATTTTTTGGTATCGGGAATTATGTATTTAATGTTTGGCAATGGCATTTTTATTTCGTCGTAAAACTTACAAATTTTTTATTAACAAACTCTAGGATTGCAAAGCGAGTAGTGGCAAAAAATTTTGAAATAAAGAAGATTTTCATCTCCACCGTACAAGACTGTTGCCACTCGGAAAAATGAGGGCGAAAATTACCGTTTTTCCGAGTGTTTAAATTAATATCTATGATTTAGCTTTTGCGCTTTTTTTTTTTTTTTTTTTTGAAAAAAAATTGACGTCGAGCTTTTTTAGGACCCAGAAAAGAAATGTCGAAAGTTTGGTGACGGTAGCTATAGTAGTGATTGAGTTATTAGAAGACAAACATACAGACTTTCTTCTTTATATATAGATATAGATATAGATATAGATATAGATAACTGGCTCGGTTTTTCTTCGAATCGACTGAGATACTGCTTCTCGTCTAGATAATTTTGAATAATATTAAAACCAGTTAACACCAAAATAAAAAATCTAATGTAGACAGCACATGACTTTATTATACGGCCGATTAAATTTTATACATTTTTTTGCTGGACTTCATTTAAACTTATTTCCTCTAGTTATTCTAACTTTAATAACTGATCAGTAAAGGCAAGTGGAAAATGATATCGAAAATTTCAAATTTTGAAATTAAATATTCAGTCAGTTTTTGACGTAAGGGGCGTCATTAATTTTTCATAAACATGTATAAAACTTTCAAAAATATAAATATAGAAAACGGGAGACCTCCTTAAAAGTTATATTTCGTTATTTGTATTAAATTTCTAAACTTAAAATTTCCCAAACATGAATATTTTCATCATTTAAAATATATCTGTAATTGGAAGTATACGACTGCGAGTAACGGTTGCGAAAATAAATAAATTGTAAGGACTTTTAAGCCAGGAAAAACGGTGTGTGTGTGTGTGTATATGTTACGGTGAAACACCGAAATCTGGAGAATGTCGACTTTCACCAGTGAATGTCAATATTCACATAGTCGCTTGGTGTATGTCCGAAATATTTTCCAAATACTCTTATTTCTGACTTACACCGGTGAATGTCGACATTTACCATGTACTAATGGTGAATGTTGAACATATAACAATATTATATTTCCTTCTCCGTAATTCATTCGCGAAAAAACGCACTTGAGACTCAAAATAAGAGCTTAACCTTTAAGAGACGGGGCAGTTTGGAAAGGTTTCACTTAAAAAGACGGGAAATCCAAATGCATTTCTACCCCCTTTTAGCTGCAATTGTAAAGGGAGACTACTACTCTTTTGGAACTTTTCCTGTAGGTCGCCTTTGTTAATTTTCAGATAAGGGACTAAAGAATAATGTAAAAGAATTTGTTGAATTTGTTCTCTTTTCTGCTGTTTCTTTTCCTTAAACTAGGGAAACATATTATAATGAGATTTCGTAGCTAAATAATTGTCGTATGTTGGAATATTAACTTTTGACATTGCGTCATAATGAAAATACGCCTTAGCAGCATATGCACTCCTATAATTTGTTCATAGTTTATTTATTCCGTTTTTATTTGTTTCCTTTTCCAAACTGAATTTAGTTTAGAATTACATATACTAATTAACGTTTTTTAATTTATACTCGAAAATGATTTTTAAACTATTTGTTTCTCGTATAAATCGGCAGTTCGCTTTTATTTGTTTCCAAGCATTGTGTAACAGCTTATATTTATATATCAAAACAATCCCGTTGTATTTTTCTTATATTAGTTTAGTTTACCTTTTTCATTAGTATTCTTACTTATTCAGTTTAATTTATTGATTCCCTCCATTGTATCGTAAGTTATTTCATCATTCAACTACATTGTCGTTCAATGTTCTTTCTTGCAGTTTTGTGATAAAAGCTTTTTTTAATCCTTTAGCATTTTTTAAAATTATTTTCCTTTACTTTAAAAACAGATTTTGATTATATTTTCATTGCATTGCACTCCATGGCATTTTGCATGTTTCAAACAGCAATATTAAATACAAAAATTACAATAAAAAGGGGAAATATAAAGAAAAAAATACATTTTTAATGACACTGAAAAGTTGGTGAAATTAATCCTAGTGTCAAATTGCTAAGATTTCACTGCTGAGGGAAACGAAAGGAATTTACGAAACCCCACAGTTGGGAGTCGCGCAGGGATAAATCTTTTAAGTCCTGGGAGGCGCGAAGGTCACATCGCATAAATGGAAAGGGAGGTTATTCGGACAATGACTATCTCCGCACCCTGAAGGCTGGGGGGGGAGGGGAATTCGCTGGCCGACATTTCGGCCACAGCCGTCTTTTTGAGACGCTACAGCTCTGGCTGATATTTAGGCCACCCGTCTTTTAAAGGTTAAGAACATAAGAACTTAAAACACACAGTACATTCAAAATGAGAAAGGAAAATAATAGAAGTTATAAACTTAAAAAATTATGTGATTCAAATCTTATTTATTGCAACAAATTGAACTATTATGACACTTTGAATTGCACAAGAGGCCCTTGCTTTTACAACTGCATTTATTTGTGGAACATTTCCTTTTGGAATGGCAGCGTGTACATATACTCCTCTCTTTTCGACCTACACCAGAGCATATCTGTGATTGTCGACATACACCGGTGAGGGTCCGAATGTACAAGAATGTAAAGAAATATTCGATCTTTCACCAACGTATTTGGTGAATGTTGACATTTTCCGCTGAAAGCCGACATTCTCCAATTTCTGTCTTTCACGGTAACATATATATATAATATTATATACGTTTGATACTGCCGATTGTAATCAAAGAGATAGATGTTACAGCAGTCTCATATGCAAGATTTCAATGTTTTACGGGTAATCGTTTTTGAGTTAGTGAGATACACACACACACAGTTAGTGAGATACACTATGTATATATACACACACACACACACACACACACACATATATATATATATATACATAGGTAACGTATGTACAAAACTCACGAAAAATCTCTTGAATCCGTGAATGAGTCGACAAATGAGGGAAAATGAGTTCTTTACTGCGTGTATGCGCATAGATGTCATGCAAAAAAATTGTCCAAATATATTTGGGAACGGTCAAAATGGATATTTCCGTTGAAATATGATACCTGAAATTCTTCGCGATTATAATACTTCCTTTACTTGTACAAGAAAATAAAAATTTGCTGATTTTCCTAACAAGACAGGCAGTGTTTCTACTTCATAGGACTCACCAGCACGGATTCGAACTGTTTGCAGAGGAGCGAATTGTGCGTAAGAGCACGTATTCATTATATTTCTCGTTTCTGAACACATACGAGTTTCATTTGCAGCGGAAAACTGAAGCAGAAAGCCCTCGCCAACAATACTCTCTTCATGAATATTCTCATTAGTATCACTGAGCCCACCAGCGGCTGAGCTGTAAAATCGCTGAACACAGGTAGTTCGGTCCGAGGTTCGAATCCCGCGAACGGGGCCGGCTGCATGGGCGTTAGTGGTTTCCCCGTGCGTAACGTGTATGCGAGCTATTTTCTCTTAGAAAGTCGTCCACGAAGGCATCCCTTCCCTTAGGCAGATAGCCCTCGAGGCTTTGCCGTAATCACATAAACCTAGTATCACTGATGAAGAGCTGTCAGGTGAGAGGTGTATTAACGAACATGCTTTGACCTGCCCAAATGTGCTTAAACGTAAATAGGAGCCACTAACGTTTTTAATTTACAGTATAATTTTGAAAGTTTATAAATAAAAACAATTTACTTTCTAGTTCATGTCATACAGTTGGCTGAAACAGGCTACTTTTCCATGGTCCATTTTGTATTTGGATATACAAATTATACATTATTATTATTCATTTAAAACTCTTCCTTTTTTTGACAAAGTTGCGTCTATTATTGATGTTTGCTGTTATATTCCTAAATTTTAATTAATGTTTTATACTACTTGCCTGGGTGAAAATTGCTATAAAGACTAGAAGAAATGGTACAAAACTAATTAATTTTATTTATAAACGTTACAAGGTGATTGCAGAAAGTGGAAGAAATGTACGGCAGACAATAAAACGCTTGCTCAGCGATGAATTCAATAAATCAACGCATATATTTTGTAAATTTATATCTAAAGTAAATATTTCTCAATTTATCTCATTTTTGTTCTGTGCAATGAAAAACGGTGTCAATAAATATTTCCACATCTAATCCAATATATGGAACGAATGCAATGAAATATGCGAACACAGTTGCAGAAATGGGTATAATTTAATTTGAAAACGCTCTAAGTCAACGGGCAAAAGTAATTACTTTATGTAGAAGCATGCAGTCCTTGTTCAATATAAATAGTCCAACATTTAGGAATTTTTATCAGTATTTTATTTCTATAAAACCGAAGTATGTGGAAACTAGCTTCTTTTTTCCTACTGTTTCTCGTTGTTTCTTGCTTGACTGATGATTTTAAAAGCAAATCCAAAACACTATGCCAAAGAATATGCATGGAAATGGCGATGGGAACGAGGACGTCAAACTGTTGCAGTTGTCGTCCCATTTTACCTCAGCGCAAGTAAGTTTCCAGTAAAATGTAAAAGTGTCTGTTGTGAAATCGTCAAAATTTCATTGCATATCTTTAAAAGGGAACAAATTTTAAGTCTTTCAAATAGTAAAAATTGTGTTTGTTTTCTGATGAAGTTCGTAAAACATTACTATGCTGAAAGGTTAAGGCCTGTGGCCAGTTTGTAAACATCATAACCTGTCAGACCATGGAATCAAAGCCACTTATTTCAATAAGTTTTTTCTTCTTAGTCATAGCGCTGAACTTCATTTTTAATATTGATAAGTTAGAGATGTGGCTGTAAATTATAATGCCTTATGTGATTTTGATATCTTTGCGCACAGATATAAGGTTATGTGATAATACAAATAAGAGGAACGTTGAAACAGGATTCTGAAATGTTTTAAACAGTGTATTACATAATTGAGAGGGGCTGATATGTAAAATAGTTTAATAAGATGTTACAAAATTATACTCGATAACATAGTGGCATATATGCGATTATTTTATCATTTCTTTAATCAGTAAATGCTGAATGGTTTACCATTGATTAAGTTAAATAAAAGTTTGAATACTAAGCTGTTTTTTAAGCTTTTTAAGTTCCAAAATGAAATTGAAAATATTGTTTGTTAGGTAGGAGAAAACTTAAATGAAGAATATTAAGGAGCTTTTTCAACAGCTTGTTGCCAAAATGATAAGGGATTAGTATATAAATATACTATTATGGATCATATATTATGCTTGCATATAAATGACTCATCTATATCGGTACTAGTTTTTCATTTTTACATGAAAAATTATTGCTGTAAAGAATTCTACATGTGATCTTATTCTCAGCCATATGTCAAAATATGAATACTATATTCTGTTTTGCTTTTTTATATTTAAACAGTTTTTACTAATTCATTTGTACAATGGGAAACATTTTAAAAGTTGATGATTTTGTCGTTGGTTATGTAGGTCCTCATTTAGGATCATAGATTTATTTTTGAAACGCATATGTTTCCTGGATAAATACGTTCCCGTCAAAATCACTGTTTGTTGATTTTATCCTTAGTTATAAATGATATTGCTTATTCTGGCCTTACTCATCTTGATTTTAATAGCCCTTTTATATTGCAAAATGAGAATATATTTCTTCAAAAAACTCAAAAGCATAGGTTTTTATCTAAAATTTATTTGTATAAAAAATTTTGAGCTCATAGAAATTTGATTAAAGCGCAGAATAATTTTCCCTTACTATGAAATTAATTTTTACCAAGTAATATTTTAGTCTTCATTAATTTTAGTTACTGCTCAGTCAAAATCATTCACAAACATACAGACAGGAAGTCAATTTTTCATTAATTAAAATGCCAAGTGTTTCCATGAGTCTGTCCGATTTCAAAAATATTTGCCTAATTAACGGTAAAAATCAATAATCATGTTTGATTTTTAAATCCTTGAATCATATCTTTGTCAAGAAATTCTTGCCGCTCTCAAATTCTTCTATTTTTCTAAACGCGATTTATCAATAATATTTTGCCACTTCCATATCAGTTATACCATCGTCTCCTTCTTATACGGGTTTCGCAGATGAAAGTTTGTTTCCCCAGCACTCTTTCCTTAGTTTAAAAAAAGTAATGCAGAGTTCTATTCTAATAAATAATAAAAAATAGGTTACGTTCATACTTATGGTGGTGTACTTATATTCTAAGGTGGTGAGTAAGTGTGTGTATCAAATTTATAAGTGTGTTATCAAATTTATAAGGCTCTGTAAAAATACAGAATATTCAACTCTCAAATGACTTCTCCTTATTTGTGATCCGATGATACACCTAATGTACATGAGTCGTAATGTACATCTAATGTAAATGAGTGTACATCTAATGTAAATGAGTAATAATGTGCATGGGTACTAGTTCTTCACTAGTGAATGCTGGTGTAAAATCTCGTTTTCATAATTTTTATTTTAAAAGATTTTGTATCTATCCCGTGAAAATGTTTGAGTTCAAGTGATGTTAATATTTTACTCATAATTAACAAGTCTCTAATTTTAAGTACCAATCTGAATTTCTTAAATGAACCTAATTAACGTATTCTTACAAATATTTAAAAGCATTCGTTTAAAAACAAAATTTAAAAGCATTCGTTTTAAAAAGACGAATGCTTTTAAATTATTCCTTTTCAATTACATTTTTTACTTTGCTGAAGAAACAACGTATATCATATTCAATATCAATTGAAATATCATTTTCAATTTTAACTGAATTTCCTCTACCATATGTTGTTTATTAAATTATTGCAGTTTTGTAAACAAAATGAAGGAAAGAATGTAAAAGGTGAAATATTTCCAAGAAATGCTTAATACGGAAGACATCAAAATGTATAATAAGCAACAGATTGAAAGATTTATTTTCAAAAACGGGAGAAAGTCTGTGTAAGAAAATAATATTAAGTACTGTGCTTCAATTATAAAATTTTTTAAATTAATACTTTTATTTTTAAAATATATAGGAACGTTTATTCAGACTAAAATTATTTCTTGCATCAAGCATACCTAAAAGCACTGTATAAATGTATTATTCAAATTTAATCTGAATGTTTTAGATAATGATTGTATGACTTAAAGTGTTGCTTGGAAAGCTACTTTAATTTTATTGTCATATTGTCTATTACATGAATATTTAGTTAAAGTAAGAAACATAGTTTTAAAGAAACTTGCAATTTGATGTTTAGATTCTAGTTTATTGTGAAAAACTGACAGAAATTTGTATCACTGCATGCAGAGAAGTGTAAAAAAATGTATTTTTTAAATAAGGAAAAGTAATTTACTGAAAAGCATGTGAAGTATGTGTACACTTATGCACATTCGTAAATGTCACTTGTAAGTTTAAGAGCCTGAAATCCTATTTTGTGGCATGTAATTTGGTAACTACCATTTATCTACATAAGAAAAGGCGAAGAGAAAACAATATGTGCGCCGGGGATGCACTCAATTGATCAAAGCTCCGAAGTTTACATTTACTTTACATTTAGTTACATGTGTATTATATGCATTAATAAACGTTATATATCTATTAATGTTTAACAATGTTTTTACTCAAAACATTGTGTATAGCGAAGGTTTGATTAATTTCTACGAGTTGACTTATCTCGTTGCTAACTTTACTGCTCATTATTGTGCGACGTTTCCGTTATATCTCAAAATAAAACAATAAAATAACTGATCCACCCTCGTTTAATCTTTATTTAATATTATTTATTTATTATTTAATTCCATTTAATCTTCGTTAAGCTTATTGCCAAGTTTCAAAATGTATGTACAACTTAAAGTTTGGTTTATTCTCTATTTTTTAATTCTATTAATCCCAAGCAATTCATACCGTAGTGAGTTTCACGCATTTGCTTATTAGATTCATTGGGGCTTACTGCTAGTTAATTTATTATCAGTTAACGGAAACGCACACTTTCGGCAACGCTCTATGTATATGGTAAGCAAAATTCTCGTCATATTCTAAAAGCAAAATTATCTAATTTATTAACAGGAAATCTCTTAAAGAAAAATTAAGCATTTCAAGCTCAACGAAGTTATGATGCAGCTCGAGAAAGAGGAAGGTGCGAAAAGAAAGATACTAAAGTTTAAAAAATATATTGCCAAATAAAATAAGAACAGAAACAGAAACAAAGCAAAAAAGGATGAAAAAGCATGAAAATAGTTTCTAAGCTGTTTGCTTTAATATAATAAAGGCGTTGATACTACACAAAACTTATAAAACATTAAACATGTAGATAGGGTAATAAATTTTAAAAATAAAGTTTCGCAACCATAGTGTGCAATTTGCTACGCGTCGTTTACTAATGACTTAAAATGTAAAGTCATTAGGTTTATCGCAGCAAACAGTTTTAAAAATGTACTATGCCGTGGCCAAGATACGAATTCCGAACCTCCCAACCGCTTACAATTAACTCGGCAAGGACGGAAATCCTCCCTTACATTTTCCCCACTTAAAAACTGAAGTGGACATTTTGGAATCCAATCGCCAGATCCTGGTAGTGAGGAATTATTGTCCACTATATTTTAGTTAAGCCGCCATTGTAGAGTCATTTAGAATTTTTCTGAGCAAGAAACTTGAAAAATGCTTAATGCCTTAGCCAGGGTTTAAACTTCACACTTCCCATTTGGAAGTCAGACGTGTTTCCCTCCGTAGATGATTTCTTAAGTTTCACAAGAAACTTGATGTCGATTTGCTGTTTGGTTTTTACATTAGACATTTTTCCGGTAGAATGTAATTGCGTCATTGAGTGCGTGTTCACTGACAGACAAAGTAGACAGATGTCTTGTTTTGCACCCGCTAAGTCTTTCTGCACCGATGGGCGAAAAATCAAGCATAGGTGCGAAGGAAGGGTATATAGAAAGAGGGGCAATTTCGTATTTGAGGAGAGTAAAAAGGAACTTCGTACATTTTTTACGAGTTCAAAAGGCCAGAAAGAAAAGATGGGACAAAATAAAATTTAAAATAAATGGCCCAAAAATAATAGAGGAGAAAAAAAAGGTAATATAGAAAGAAAAGGAAAAGAAGTAGAAAATATCCTAAAATACGATTGTGTCCATGAGTGTAGTTAAGGAGTTCATCTGCAAAAATTAGTGTCTTTAAGAAGGAAACTTTAGCTAAGTTTAAAAAAAAAAAAAAAAAAAAAAAGGAATGAATTCCTACATGGTAATGTGTATGCTCTTATCTTGGAAACTTTAGCTAAGTTTAAAAAAAAAAAAAAAAAAGGAATGAATTCCTACATGGTAATGTGTATGCTCTTATCTTGAGACCTAACTAGAAAAGACATATATCATCACAAAGATGTACATAATATTTTAACTAAAGTAACATTAAATATTACCGTTCATAAAAAAATTCATGTATATTTCAGAAAAACAGTAATTGACAAAATATAAATCCATCATACACAGTGTGAGAGAGCATTTCAGCAAAATAAATTATACAGTTTATTTTTCTTAAATATTAGTTAAATATAAAATTAATTTATTAATTTAACCGTTGAAATTTGTTATAGTACAAGTTGAACAAATTCCGTCACTGTATTTTTTTATTTGCTCGTAATTTTAAGTTTGAGAGACCTTGAAAAAAAAAAAAAAAAAAAAAAAAAGTGGGGGATCTTTGTTACAAAAAATCACAATCTATACTCATCGATGGATCAAGAGATCCGCATTTTTCCTCTCACAAGAAATTCCTAAGCACGAAAAGGGGGGGGTGCCTCCGAAGGGTGTGAGTTGCTGATAAGAACGGACTACTGATAAGGAATGTGGCGTCTCTACGGAATAGTTACGAAGAAAAGAACCACATGACCTGCTACTATTACCAACTATTGTATAATGCTAGAATCTTATGAAAAATAATAAATAAAGAAATTTAATGACACTCTAGTGATAGAGAAACAGATATTTTATAGAGAACAGAATGTTACTTATCTGAATATTCCGTGTCAGGGCCTCTTTTGGATTTCTCGTGTTCATAGTGAACAGCTAACAAAACACCTGAAGTTTCGAAGAAGCGAAGTTTCCTTTTTCAATTTGATGAATGAGATATTGCATAGGAAAGGTGCATTTAACTATTTTAGAGAGTTGAAAACATTTTTGAAACACTTATTTAAAAAATTTCGGAGCTGTGTTTAGACACTGCCTCCAGCTTTCGTGATCGCAGCGCCAGTCCACCAAAAGTGACCATTCAACGTGTTCACTGAATGACGCAGAACTCCCCACTGGCGTGGTCGGTAAAGTTGAAACTGGCCACATGGATAGAGGAAGATGTGCGGCATGACGCCACCAAAGCAATTGTTGCCAACTCCACTCTGTTTTACTTAGTCTCGTTTTTTTTTTTTTTTTTCCCTCTGTGTGTGTCGTATATGAAAAATAAATATTTTCAGTTAATCATATTCAGTTCAGACAATAAATTCTCTCCATTCATAATATCCATCAAGTATGCTTTAAATTGTTGATAATTCTACAACTGTTGTAAGCAGATTAACTAAAGGCATAAAAAAACTTAACCGGAACATAAAAACTACATAAGTCAATCGTTTTTAAAGCAAAAAATGCACAATTTACCAACATATAAGAATAAGAAAAACAGAGCTCACCGAGCCGAATAACAAAACGGATATATATATACATATCCCACATACACATATATGTATATATTGTTGGTGTGTCCGATTATAACCAAAAAAGGAGGTGCACATCTAAATGCTATAGCAGTCTTATAAACAAAATATCAAAGTTTTGAGGCTACTTGTTTTTTAGTTATGTTAGGTACATACATGCGTACATAAGTACGTACGGAGGTCATGAAGAAATCTCTGCTGAAGCCAATTTAAATCTATTTACAATCCGTTTTGAGTAAGAGACCTTTATTCTGTCTTTACGTACAGATGTCACTCAAAAACAACGTTTGAAATCGATCCAAATGGATATTTCTGTTAAACATGATACCCGAAATGTTTCGCGATTACCATACTTTCTTTACTACAAGGAGGTAAAGAAAATGAAAAAATTCGAATAGGAAAAGACATGAATAATCAAATATTTCCAGTATATAAATGGCGCTGGGCAACAAGCAAAAACAAAATCTGAATCTTATGACTTTAGCGAGAGTAGCCTAAACGGCGTACGCGCGCTGGTCAGAGTCTCTGTCTCTCTAACGAAGTCAGTAGAACTTCAAATTTAAATACTTGCGCTTCCTTCATTTACATTTAATCGTTCTGAAAACACGTTCTGGCATAAAACTGTAAACTGAAATTAGGAGAGATAGGACAGTGGCTTTAACTAAAAATAACTGTTAGCAACTTAGTATAAACCTTACAAGTGTTTATTTATAGATCTTGAAATTTTTTATTTGCATCTTTTTAACTCTTTCAAAATTAAGTAACTTTTAAAATGGTTTTTAACTACTTCACAAATAAAAATGGTTTTAAAGCCGATAAACATCCATAAAAATACTGTTTGTGGCTGAAACATTTATACAATATATGGGTAAATTTATCATTTGGATTTTTAATTGTGGAACGCATAGTTCAAGAGTGAATGAAGAAGGAAAATATAATCATGTTAATATAGAATTCGTGATAGAAAATCATCAATAAAATGATAATATTAACACAAAATTGCTATGAAACTTAGCAAGAGATGTTTCTTGGTGGCAATGAAATCCTAAAATTTGTTTCATGAATTACTCGTATCATATGTAAAATATTATGTATATATTATAGATTTCAAATAAACAAAGATATATTTACACGTAAGCAAAGACTTTCAATATCAATACAAGCTCAGTCATTCTTTCATGTATAATTCCTTTCTATAATTACACCGAATTTTTATTGGCAGTGCATTTTATTTCATATTTCCATTTTTAAGAAAACGCATACGAGATTAAATAAATTAAAAGATCTGCAAAATTTACCGTTTCTACAGTGTAATTCATGTGGCATATATGTTCCTAGAATAGTAATAGTGTATCAATATGAAATTTATACATATGTTATAAATACTCTTCACAAAAATTAATGTTTTTATCTATTACTATCTTTTTTTTCCCTTCAGATCTGTGAAAAGTTTTGAGAATGATAGAGACCAAAACCGTGATAACTTGCTGAAAGGTTATATGGAGCAGTATGAAGATTTTTGAATAGAATTTCTCTTAGACCTAAGGTAAGATGTTTTGAGCAATATCTAGTAAGAAAGTAAAATGTGATTTTCTGTTTATTTTAAACACTTTATACAATGCACAGGTTTTCAATTAATGAACTGCAAAACGTTGTAGATATTTATGACACTTTGAAAAATTCGAGCACGCGTATAACAAATAAAATTACCGAAGAAATTTATGAAAACTTGGATGTATCTTTAACGCGCTAGATTTGCAAGCATTATAGTACTGTTGCATTCTATGGGTTCGTGGATTTGCAGTGATTAATGACAACACTTGAAGAATCAAAATAAAATTTATTCGCCAATATTATTCAGGACAGTTCCAAAAATACGTTTACAGTAGTCGAAAAGACTGAAACAATCAGCAACACAGCCTTCAAGCTACAACGGGGAAGACAGCTTCACAGCAAAGCACTAAAGTACAGCTCCCGACTTGGTTCGGTCGCTCTTAATCTAATCTCTGAACTCAATCATAATACTGACCTTAACGTACTCTCGATACTGCTCACTATAAACTGTTACACCGCGTACAGGCAGGATATTTATAGCTTTTGACCTGTCTTCGAGAACATTCTGGAAAAAACCGGTAAGACTTCGTTTTAGAATGTTCTCGTTCCGTCTATGGCATATCGCCGATTTTGTCTCCAAATGGGCGATTTCGCGCCAAATCTAGCAACCCTTTCTCTTTCCTTGCAAATTTCTGGCAACCCTAGCCCCGCTTCGCGGGGAAGCTAGCTAACCGCAGCTGGGCGTTTCTTAACAGCATATAACATATTTCAGTATACGATATATTTCATGTATGTGATTAAAAGAATTTCTTTTCACCATCGACAGAACAGATGGTCCACTAGCTTAAGTGCTCATGGATACCCCCCCCCGGATATTGTCTCCAAGTGAACGATTTTGCTCCAAATCTGGCAACTAGTGATGGGCAACTTCGGTACTTTCTTGTACCCGGTACGAGAGTAACAGGTACAGACAAGTACCCGGTACAAAATACCCGTTACTCAAGTAACCGTTACTTTGAAAAGTACCGAAAACCGATTTCAAGTACCGAGTACCCAAGTAACGATTTGGAGTACCCAAGTAACGGTTTGCTGTACCGGAGTACCCTAGTAACGATTTGGAGTACCAAAGTACCCTAGTAACGATTTGGAGTACCGAAGTGCTCTAGTAACGATTTGGAGTACCGAAATACGCAGTTAACGATTTTGTGCACTGAAGGAACTCTGCCACGTCACCACGTGTTTGATTTTATCTGTACGGAGTAAGATTTTGAATATCGGAAAACATGTCAACTACGTAACTGTCTGAGGAGCAGGCCATTCATGGACACAAGGAGCGCATCCATTTCCCAAATACAACCAGATACTACTGTCCTCGTACCAAAACTGAAGTGAGCTGAACCCTCATCGATCCTCCAGTACCGAATACCGAAAAACCGAGAAGAGACGCATATTTTCGTTACAAAGTAGCGAATACCGAAAAAGTACCCGTTTCGGTACAGAAGTAACGAATACCGAAAAGTAACCGTTTCGGTACAAAAGTAACGAATACCGAAAAGTACCCGTTTCGGTACAGAAGTAACGAATACTGAAAAGTACCCGTTTCGGTACAGAAGTAACGAATACCGAAAAGTACCCTTTTCGGTACAGAAATAACGAATACCGAAAAGTACCGATTTCGGTACTGAAGTAACGGGTACTTGGATGTACCGATTTTCAGTACCCGTTACAACTAAGTACCCGTTACAAAATACCCAGTTCGGTAGTACCGACTCATCACTACTGGCAACCCTAGTCTTCCTTTGCGAGGAAGCTATCTTACCGCAGATGGGCATTTCGTAACACTGCCCCCTCCCAAGGACTGCAGTAGTCCCGGGCAGTACAATCCTTGGTCAGAAGCCAAATTCAAAAGGTAACGAAAGAAACAAATAAGGTAATTAAAGATAAAACAAACAAATATTTACACTATTTACAAGTTACATACACAAATTAACTACTAAATTTAATAATAATTTTAAATTATATAAATTAAAGTTCAAAATGAATTTCAGTCTCAGACTTTTCATTAAGTTATACCCTAGTTAATTACTTTTTCACTATAATTCTCAGATGTATTTATGTTTTGCATATGACAGTCCGAAGATTCGGTCGTTTCAGGTTTTTCTCCACAGGAAGAATCTGAAACAGTTTGCATACCACTCTGTAGTTTATTCGCATCATGTGTACAGTTCACCTCGGTACTTTTAGCAGTTGCTACATGCTTATTTACCTCTATTTCCTGAAAACCAGTTCTGATGTTTGCATTAGAGTTATGAATAGAATCCGATTTTTACAAACAAAAGTATCCTGGTTTGGAATCAAGTTAGTGTCTGTACAACTTGTATTACGACACACAGTTTGTGAAGTAGAAGTATTTTCTTGCAATACTAGAAGCGATTACTGCGTAAGCTGCACATCATCTACTTCCATCTCTGCATCTTATGAATTTTCAGATGATTCAATACTTGCTAACTGCGACTTCGTAACTTCACTATCAGTTTCTCTGAACTTAATAGCCGCATTTTCACTTTCTTCCATCTCTATTTCAATGTACTTGAGAATCGGGAACATTATTTCCTGAATTATTTCTTCACTTTCTCAGATTATTTACTAGCCACTTCGTTTATCTCTTCATCTTTACAGACAGTATTATCACTTTCTTCCATTTCAACTTCAGGCACCTAAGAATCAAAGGTTTCTTTTCCGTCTTTTATTTCTTCATTTTTTCGTTCTCTTTCTACAATTTTGTTAGATGTTTCATTCTTCATTTGTCGATCTTTATCAGATAGTTCATTAGCTACTTCCTTCATTTCTTCATCCTTTGAATTTTCAGATGCGATTAAGATGATTCTATGAAATGAGATGATTTTCATCGTATAGAGGCTTCATAAAATGCGATTTTTTTTTCTGCTACCGTCTGATACCAGACCTTGAGCATTCGCAATTACCCTCTCCCATGTAGCTGTTGTAATTCTATACCATACTATTAGCTGGTTTATGGAGTTTTTCTTTGATGTGTCTGATATGTGGTTGCCGGTTAAGATGAACATCTATTCTGACATCAAGGTACTTCAATTTTCTGATTATTTTAATGATTTTAACTTTGAAGTTTGATACATGGAGGTCTTACATGTCAATTGTCTGGCCTTAATATCACAGTGTTGGGTTTGGCTGTAGAGATCACCATCTTGTGTTTCGGCAACCAGTTTGCTAACATATCTATGGCGGTTTGTGTATTTATCTCGTATTCAGGCCTTAAATAGCCACTTGCGGTGATAAGAAAATCATTTGCATATGGAAGTATTTTGATAACATCATATTCATTGTACAATGCAAATGCTGAAACCGCTACGATGTTCCCATAGCAGCAGACTCACATGGTATCTTTGAGGGCAGCCTTTATTAATCTGAGTTGTGCAGACGTCTTCATCAGTTGCTGCATATTATGTAGTGATTACTTAAGTAGCTGTAGATACGATCTGGTAGCAACTTAAGTCACTTACTGATTCGCACTAGTAATTGCTTGAGCACATTGTGCAGTTGAAGGCGCCCTGTATATCCACGAAAATTATAATTATGTGAAGTTAATTATTTTTGTTTTGTGCTATAATTACGTTTAGGCGATTCACAGCATAGTCTGCTGCAGAGGTTATCAAACCTTTTGATCATCGAGATCGCAAAATAAAATCTTAAATTTTTAGCGAGCGCCATCCATTCAAGTTTCATAATCAAACATCAAACGCCAGATTACAAACTAGTTTTGCTTAAGATATAACTTTATTGAACTAAATAACAAATATTTATAATTTATACTCTTTAAATATTTTTTATACGTCAATGTAAAATTTGTGTTTGCAATTTGTCTGCTAACTTATAATCGACAATATAATCTGAGTTGCATGCCCTGAAGGGTTTTTCTAAGTGCGAATCAGTAAGTTTTGAACGCTACTTTGAATAAGTCATATATTTAATGATTGACGTGATGATGACATATTTTTAATAATTTTTTAATGATTTATATGATACTTTGAATAAAACATATTTGAAAACAACGTTTCACAACTATAGGTACTTAAGCAATAAGAACTAATTTTTACCGCACATGACTTTAAAATAGAATACCAAGCTCCAAAATACTTTCAGGAGATTTTAAAATAACATCATTTTGCAGGCTTACAATTTCTAAGTTTTCCATATTGCTAAGATGAAAATAGTTAAAAATTGCTGTAGCCATGTTTCTCCATCAGTAATATTAGAGGGATTTCTAAAGTATTTTAAAATAGGCTCCAAATTCGCAAAATTATGCCTTTTAAGATTTTGTGTCATTTTTTTTTGGTACCAGGAAAATGCGTTAATGATTTTAATAGGAGTCGAGACCTATAAAATTCTAACATTGACTTGAAGCTATTGATACCGCTCATCACATCAGCGACGAGATTACTCTTATGGTGGTTTTGGTAGAGTGTCAATGGCAAGTGTCTTAATGGAGATGGAGATCTGAACCCAGAGCCCCCTAATCTTCTACAAAACTGTATCCATGGATATACCGGGATCTCAGAGAATTGGCAAACGGCGTTGTTGATGACAACGCAACTGTTGGTCCGAACGTGGTAGCTCTTCTGATTACGTGATCATCTCTCGCATTGGTGGCTCAGGGACGTCCCAAGCCATTACGGCGGCTCATTATGCCTTTGCTCAGCCACTGGTTACAACAACGGACAACGATCATATCGCTTTGACCAATATGCCGGCCGATCCACCTGTTCGATCAACAGGCCTCTTTTAGTCCTATGATGTGACCCATCTCATAGTCTGACAATTGATCTTAGCGCCGTTGAGTACGTCTTAAAGACATCTCTCGTTACTATGTCGGGGATCAAAGCGCGATTGTAAATGCTCGTCATTCGCCGCACTTGCCTTTTTACACTCTACCAGCTGCGTAGTTCACACCCCTGCTGTATCGCTTCACAGTGCTGTTTGATGCTACACATTTAATCATTAACACAAGTCGCCAAACCACAGTTGCATGCCGCGTTTCGTAGTTGTGGCTCAATTTTTTTCTGGGTGCATATATTTTTTGCAACAGTGTGTATATCGAAAATACAAGTATATTACTGTTTCCAATAGATCCGGACAATACCCGATAGTCTATGCGAGCCGCCCGGGAATCCGGACCTGCTCTCACCTGTTACCAGTTTTTTAGATCCTGGGAAGTCCTGCGAACAAAAAATGCTTTTTTAAAATTTCAAAGATCACTTCTTGCATATTCTCAATTTCGCTTCATTCGGATACCCCTCATTCATGCGAATTGCTGTAAACTTTTACATTTCTACTTTATAAAATTCGTATAGTATCCACTATGCTGTATCTTTTCAAACAGGGTCTTAGATACTTTAATGAAAACTTAGTCTTAGATACTTTAATGCAGTAGATTCTCAAACCACTAATCATAAAACTGAAAACTTAACGATGCACTTAACTTCAATGCACTTACGATGTCTTCTTGAGTACAATACACTTTATAGAGGATAACCTGCTAATGCGAAATTTCTTAAGGTGAACAAAGACTGCCAGAAAATGCAGAACTTTTGAAATAAACTTTTAGTTTGCTTTACTGGAGGAGTATCTAACACGTAAATTATACATATTATATACCAATCGACTGTTTATGTTCCGAGAAAGATTTCGCGTGATTAACAACAGATTGTTAATAAAAACACAACCATGCCCTCGTATCTGTTGAATCGATGCACGTAATTGAGTGTCTACAGGAGTGGGAAACCTCTGCTTTAGAACGGAGACTATTATCTTATGGGTATTAACTTTTCAAAATGGTAATTAAATGACACTATTACTTTTTTTAAGTTTTATAAGTATTTGAATAATTATACCGATTTTTTTTTGTTTCGCTGGATATAAGTTAATATTTTTTACTGTGATTAATTAAAAGTTTTTATAATAAAATTTATTCATTTGCATTAATATAACACGAGTACTATTTTTATAAGGTCCATATTATGGGCTATCGAAATTAAGGAATTATGGAAAGATCCTTAAACTGTCCTTTGCATGTTTTATTTTTATTCTACTTATAGATACAGATATTAAAATTTTTATTTCATTTCCCTTAGGTGTCTAGAAGAAGAAAGAAGATAATATGATTTGATGAAATCCATTAAATTATTTCATGTTTTTCACTGTATATTTCATAAAAGGCAAGCATGCTTAATAAACATACTGATAATAAATATTTTGATGAAAACTTTGAAATAACTCTTTCAAACTATTTGATTATAAATTTTTGGGATAGTATAAAAAAAAAAAAGCTTTTACCATTTAGTACACTTAACAGTGTGAATTAAAAAGCATCTTATATGGATATTATTAAATTTCTGTATACTTCTTTTCTCCCTTAGTACTTTTATCACCTTCTCTGCATGATACTCTTAGAATCTCGTTAAAAAATATTCTCATTTCCCCAGTGTGAAGAATGGGTATATTGCTGATGATAAAAATAAACTAGCATTTATACACGTTGTTATTCTAATCCACGAGTTTTAAAATACCGACGATTCTATTTGGAAGAGCTTTTAGTTTCTGTATTCAATTTAAACTCGAATCACAAATTCAAAATAAATCTCAATAACTCTTATATAAGCACATCTGCTACATCACACTATTTACATGGTTCAAGATTAATTTTAAATCAAAAGATGGGGATTATCCCCCCTTCAAATCAAATTCTATTACTAGAGGCCGAGTAACCGAACGCTCACTTCAAAGTTTGTTTTCGACTTCCTGTTGCCACTGACAGAAGAGAAACTTTTGCTCATTTCGCGTTTGCTCATTTCACGTTCGAGTTGTAACACATGTTTCCGCTGTTATGACGCATTAAATGTTTTCCCCCAATTCCTTTCGGCCCAAGGCCCAAGGCGTTTTGCTTACGGAGTACCTTTGCAAATAAATGCAATAACCTCCACAACTTCGTTAAGAGAAATATTGAATAATTTAGATTCCTTTCGGTAATTCCTTTCGGTAATTCTAGCTGTGAAGTTTGCCTGCAAATTTTGTAGACTGTAGCCCTTTAGACAAACCCCTGCATCCTTATATAGGCTACGCCATATATTTTGGGGGGGAGGGGGAGAAGGATGCACGTATAAATTGAGATACATTATTTTAATTCACTTTTTCAATGCTCATTTTTCTAGTACCTTTTGGAACATTCGTATGCACTCATAATTGTTCATTTCTAAAACTTGTGCATATGGCTTAATATTGAAATGAGAAATAAGAAATAATAATTGAATTGAACCTGGCATTCAGTTTTATTTAGAATTTTTTTTCACCGATTGTTTGTTATTGCAACTAAATGAAAGACAAGTACTACAAGCAGAGACAGCGACCAACGAATTTCAGACAACATGTTAGCTACGAAGAAAGAAAGAGAGGTGGGATACAAGCGACATCACTAAATAATGAAAATTTGAATTCGTTTAAAAGTTGACTTATTTATAGAATGGTGGAAAATGTCAGTTAAAATTCCAGTGACGGAATGATGTAGAAAGATTTTTATACATGGGAAAAGCCTTAAGTTCCCATAAATGCTAAGATAATGCCTTCTTCTTCAATAAAGTTGAACGCTACTTGTTTACCAGTAAAACTAAAGTTATTTATCAGTTCAAAGTTAATAATAAAATAATGCTCAAAATCTCAGTTAATAACGATAATGTTCAAATCATGGGTAAATAAAAATAATTTTCAATTCTCATAAAGCAGAAATTGTAACTGAAAAAATTTTGAAATAGGAAATTATTTAAAGATGATATTTCATATAATTTCCGTAATTATGCGTTGTGTAATGTTATATTTTACACATCTTCGCAACAATACCAAACCTACGAACATGTGTCGTCCTCCGCGTTTTCACATTTCACACTCCGCATTTTCTGTCTTGTCTCTCGTACTTTTATATCTTATAAAACACAAAAATGCATATTCTGTAAATCGTTGCTTACAAAAGTTTTAATCTGACTTTTCTCAAATTCAAAAATGCTTCTTAAATTATTAAACGTAATTTTCACAAAAAAATATTATTTTGCGGATTGGTGGTTTTGGCTCGGTGACGACAGTATTTCTCTTTTCATTCCTAGAAAAATAAAGACAGAGAATAATGCTGTATTAAAAAAATTACAGTGCTATTCGCACAGATTAAACTTAATTTTAATTTCTAAACTCATTTCAAAGGATTTTGAGTTATTAATTCCTTTGTCTTTTACAAAGTAAAAAATAATGCAGAGTAGTTGCCAGCAGTTAAATATGATACGCATAACATACATACGTACATAAGAAAAGAAAACATTTTTCATTCTTTTTCAGTTTTATTTTATCTGTATATTCTTCATTATTGTTCCATTATATTTAAATGATTCGAAACGAAGATAATTTAATTATATTTATTTCATTACATATGGTCTATTTTATCTCACATTACTTTAGATTAGGAAATCTTTATTGTCCAACATCATACTCTAGTTTATTTTAAAAAGAAGAAAAAAGGAACATAATTGTATCAGATAACGAAGCAAGCGTCTGAAATTGCGTTAAAAGCTTTTAAATAAGATTGGTCTTTGCGTTAAATTTTTATGATAGCCTTTAAGAAAGTAAATGAATTGTTCATATAGCCATTTCATAAGCTAATGCTGTTTTATCTGGATGTGCGTAATTGTAAAATCATATCCAGTAAATTAAAAATACCCCTGTCTTTGTCATATTATTATCATCATCAAATAACTGAAATGCCCTGAATGCACTTCCCCGTTTAAATTCCTACGCACATGAGTTATAATTACTTCAAAATCTTCAAATATTAAAAAAATTATTTTCCCAGTAACCTGTATTGATTTTAGTATTTCATTCAAGTAAAATTTCTTTCTTCTATATTCTAATTAATTTTAATTAATTTCTGTAATGCTGCATACATACGCAATTAAGTAAATTACGTAAAAAGATATACATTAAAATGTTCATAAAGTCAAAAATGTAGCGAATGTTGAATTTATTTGCATCTTTATCCGCTACTAATTAATTAATAAAGGAGACTTAATTTTAGAAGGCAGAAGATTAGAATAATCCAGAAAGATTTTTTAATCTTTTTTCGTTTGCTTATTAATAAATAAGCAGGTTTGCTTTATCAATTCAGGAATTGGAAGAAATAAGTAGTTCTAAATGCATAGGTCTTACGAAAAAGTGAAAAAAATTCTTTTGAATTATGTATTGCGTTTTTTAGTATCAAGTCTGCGAATAAGTGTATCTGTTTATAAAATTAAAAATTTCAAAGATTTTCATAAATTAAAATTTTGTTAGAGCGTAACTCTGCATTTATAGTATTTTCTCCAGTTTCTTTCTGAAAATAAGCAAGCAGATAACCAAAAAGAACAAAACAAAAATGTCCATTTTTAAATTGCTTTGAAAGGACGAGCAATATTTGCTTTTCTTACTTTTTTATGTTTGAAAGACAGTTTTTCCGGTATTAATAGCACTGTCAACAATGATTTAGTTTTCGTCATTGTTTATTTAATTTATGCTAATTCTTATTTACCTTATAGGCAAGTTTCAAAAACAAAAAGTAGATAATTTTTGCTACCCCATATTCTTCTAATATGAAATTGCCTTTCCTTATAAATGCGGTTAGTTTTGCAGTTGCTCAAATAGACTGGTTGATGGAAAAATTTTATTTGCCATTTGAAATCATCAAGAAAATCTCTGTAACAATGATAATTTCATTTCAATTTCATTAAGAAGCAGAATGTTAGATTTTGTTAGTGAGTGTAATCAATAGTAAAATTAAAAAAAAAAAAAAAAAAAAAAATCATCTCAAAGAGTTTTTATAGATTAAGGGTTTATCTAAAATTTAATCTAATATTAGTACCTGTATAAAATCTATATTTAAAACAACATATGGAATCTTATAGTTAAGTTTTCTAAATCTCATTCACAAAAAGTTTTCGTTTAGAAGAAATTGTATACATATCTTAGTTATTTGTTCTTGTGTTTAAGAGAGAAACGTAGGTATTGATTATGCATATTCTGAAATGTCTAAAATTATTACTTATCATATATTATTATGATAAGTAATAATTTTAGACAAAGGTATTTTCTCTCTCCTTCTAGCATGCCTTCGTGACGTAAAGGGGGTGTGTATTCGAGTCCCGGCGAGGGCAATATACATTTTTCATGTCTCCTGCTTCAAAATAACCTAATGAGTCTACAAATAGTGCCCGAACTAATAGGTTGTGGACTAATTCATTACCACCAGGATTTAGTGATTGAGTCCCCTAATCCCAGTCTCTCTTGAAAAGGGGAGAGTATATAAGGCCTTTTCTCAATCCTTCCAGCATGCCTTCATGGTGTAACGGTAGCAGACGCAGCGCGTATTCGAGAGCTTCAGTGTTCGAATCACGGCGAGGACACTGCACGTTTTTCATGTCTGCTGCTTCAAAATAACCTAATGACTCTACAGAAGTATAAAATGAAAACTGGAAGTAAAACGTCCCAGCGTAAAATGTAAAAATTAGGCAAAACAGCAAGCTTATATTGTTTTAGATTTTGGTTAAAACTAAATCGATTTCGAGGGTGATCAACCCTAACTCTCTCTTCTTCCAAAGCAAGGTTCTGTTTACTCTTATGCACTCTCCCTGTATAAAAAAATAAGTATTATATAAAATGACAAATGTTATTCAGGGAAATATAAAAAAGAATTTGTTGTAAGGATTCATGTGAAAACTTAAAGTGTTTAAAGCGCATGAAACAGGAAGAAATGCAACCTACCGCGCGACTATTAAGCGTCACTGTTGGTAATATATTGTACTGATGCGCATTTTGTCATTGTATAGAATGCATAAGAAATGACTGAAAAATCTAAAGCTTTTATACTAAACGTCCCACTTTTGACATTGCACGGGTAGTCTAAAGTAGCACTTTTCCTGTAAAATATGTAGAGTCCGTCCACACTGTAAACTATTCAAGGTCAGATTATCGCTTAGAGTATATAAATGTGCTCCAAGAACAACAATCAATGATATCCATACTTTTCAAGCAAAAGGCAAACAAGACCTATATTATCATGAACAGTATTGGAAAAATAAACTTTATTGGATATATGAAAAACTACACCGTATTTACGTATAATTGCGCTTCTCAACGGGAAAGTTGCATAATAAACATCTGAAAATAAATATATATCCATTATGTAGTTGAACAGCCGTTGTTTAACTCCTAATAAAAGCAGCATCTGAGCTCATTAAATCTTTTCGTGGTGATAATGTATTTCTTTTCTGAATATTGTGACACATATATTATTTTTGGATCGATGTAATATAAATTCTCTGCAAATTGCGAAGAGTGCAACCCATCGCTATCCATCGCAACATCATCCAGATCCAATGTCATCCACAGACCAGACGACAGGCTGAAAAGTAGCGCATGCTTTCTCTGGATGGAAAATCTCCACCATGGTGTTAGCAGAACCAGCGGCAGGCTTGTGTTATTACAAAACGTTTTAATACTGAAACGGGTTAAAGCTAGCCCAGAGTGAGCCCACGTTTAATATAGTATAATAGACAGTTTAATGCGATTACAAGTACTACGCACAAAGGATATCACCGACGGCTGAAATTGTACCCATTTGAAGTTGAATAACCGTGCTGGTGTACATTGAAGTAACTTTCAACAACGCATTACAGTTTGTGTATGACTATTTGTGTATGGCTAAAGACAAAAGCAAAACTATCATTCATTATTTGAAAATTACTTCCATCTTGGAGACCTATGAAGCATGTTTTACAAGTGTAGAGATCTTCGGCACTCACAACAGCCCTGAATGATCACAATTCAGTTGTCATGCAACCTGTGTAAGAGGTTTTTCTGACCTGTAATTTGTCGGCCAGTATATCGGCTATACGTGAAATATTCGCAAACTCCCTGTTAATTATGAGTAATAATTCATACTTTCGTTCATAGAGATTGGAATTAGTTCTAATCAAGGACAACTAGCCCTTAAGCTTCCATGAGAGTTTTATTCGGTGCAAAATAATCAAGTAAATATGCTCACCAGCTATTTTCAATACCCAAACACATTAACTGAATTACCAAAATCGTATAGCAAGATTCTTTGCTGCATAACCAACAACATCAAGTCTCAAAGCTCGAATATTATGAGTTATTTTTACCAATGCTAAGGACAATTTACAATGCACATTCAATTTAATACAGTTGCTGCGCAATGGAAAACTCAGCGAATTGTAATTATACTTATAGTGCATCCACAAACATTTTGCTAATCACTTGAAATTCAATACGAATACATATCTGTCAATTCTATGCGATTCTATTTCAAAATTTCACAATCTCATGATTCAGTAAATTTAAGAAATGTATACTACTCAGAAAATTCAGATGAGTGGAAGAGAATTGAATGATATTCCTGCAGTCTCGGTCTGAGGAAACATTTGACATTAAATATCCATGTCGAAATTGCAAGGCAGGAAAACCCGAGGAGGAATGGAATATTGCGGGTACCTTAGGTTCAGATGGTTCTATACCAGAATTTTACTAAAAGCGCCTTTCTACTTGTAATATCGAGAAGCTCCCAACTTATCAGCAACTGTGTTAGTGACTGCTACTAAGTGTGAATTTACACAGAAACGTAAGAAGGATTTAAAGCCCTTTTTATTCAACTTTTAAAATAACAGCTGCGTCCATTTGACGCTCACAAACTACGCCGACCCGGCGGTTTAACTAAAACAGAATGTAGAACTGAAAAATAATGACTGGATGAATAAATAGCGAGATCACTATCCACGAGGCTCTGAGATCTTAAACTAACCTAACCGCGTTCTAACATTACCGCTGAGATTCAGCGAGCTTACTAATTAAGCAATTGAAAGATCCAGCAAAATCTGCCGAGATAGGCACACAGGCCGACACGCGCGGTTCTTAAATTCTACCGAGCGGCATTCACGTTCACGATTCAAGAAGCACACCTACAATCTCGTTTCCCTTCTATTTAAACTCAACTTACTTTCTATTTAAACAGCTAAATTTGAATATACTGCACGCTCTACTACAATTTACATACTCTAGCATTGGCAATTCTAGGGGAAAGAAAAGAATAGACAGGAAAGATAACTTAAAATAAATGTTAGTTAAAATAAATATAAACTCTACATACTTATCTGATAAATGGTATGTAGTAGTGTACGAAAAATCTATCAAAATACCAAAAATATCAGAACTACGCCGAGACTACCCGTCAAAGGTTGTTCTGCACAGGCTCTTAATATACGTATATAAACCTTAATAATAATTAGACACAGTGAGTCTACTATTACAATACCTGTTTACAATCTCAATATTTATAGAAAAAGAAATAAATCTTATCTACTTGGATTCTGCACATGCTTCTTGACAAATAACAATTTTATTAAAACTTGACATCAGCAGTTTCACAGTTCCCTTGAATTAAAGCAGGAATTCTCTACTAGGATATTATTCAATTAGAAAGCCCGGCGGTCATATACGAAATGACCGCTGTTCTAGATATTATAAATTGATTGATGATTAGAAATTGATTATAAACAGATGATTGCTAATGCAAACAAATGTTCACGTTCACTCTGACACGCGTTCAGCTGAAAATTCAGTTTAAAATACAATGTCGGTATAAAATCGGACAAAATTTTAAACTCTTTACGCGAAAGGATATTTAGCATAGGAGTTTGGGTAAACCTACCTGATGAGATGTACTACGAACAACTTGTTAGCTGGTTTTGTCTCCTTTAATTTCTGAACGTTTGCAAGTTTTTAGGTAATTCATCTGTAAATATAGTTAACTGCATAATAAGCAACAATTGGAGGAATTAAAAATATTTAAATGTTCTTTAATACCATGATAATTTAATTAAAACAATGATAACTGCATGTATGGGATCAGTGTATGTGGACTATTTGAATGCCGTGGCAACTTCACCCCATTGGCTAGCACAGTTACGCAAGCAAGCAATAAACTATCGGCGACAAACAGACACTTAAGCCGCGTATAATAAAGATAACAACCCAATGTAGAACTTTCATTTAAAACATTACACATCTAAGTTAAGAATATGACCTAAACATTATAAATATTGTCTTAATACTGGCCCATGCACTATATACAGATAACCGAAAACCTTAAATTTTTCATAGATATTTATAAATAAACAGGAGAATAAAATGCAGTTAAAACATTTAATGTTAGACTGAAACGAAGTACAAGTGAATCACAGTTTGCTCTGTTGAACTTCGTACAGACCAAGATTTCCCAACGGGAATCGACAAAATTTTGAAAGTGATTAATGATGATGAAGGGGGCGACATTTGGTGTATATACGAATATGTACCAGCAATTGATTGACATATTAATGATCCCATTGACTGCGAAAAAATATAATTATAAAATTGTTAATGAATTTTTTTTTGTTTTTATATATCTGTAGCATGCAGTAAGAATGAAATCATATAAATTAAGCATAAGGGAGAATTACAGAAAATGTGTTTCACATATTTCTTAAATGATTAGATTATTTTTAACCGTATGAATGTTTTATGCAATAAGTGCAAAGAATTGTTACCAGCCACTATTATTGAACTTTTCCTTCTTCTTACATAGCAGAAGCAAACTTTGATCAAGTCAATAATTTACAATGGAAAAAAAGAAACAGGATGAATATTGGTGAACAAAGTGATTTAAGTGTTAAGAAATTTTATGCCAACTATTAAAAATATTGCATTTATACATCAAGCGTTTTATACAATTCATTGAAATTCAAGAATCTGTGACTTTGATTCTGAGAAGTTGTTTACATTTTCAAAATTAAAAATAATATATGTAATATTGTATTACGATGAAGCAAAAAATAATAGAACTTTTAGAACATGTTGTTGTGACTTAGCTCACTTGTTCGACAGTAACATCAGCACAAGAGCCTTGAGCACCGTACAGGTGACAGTACGACTTTGCTCAGTTCCGCCCCCTATTTTGATGGAAAGCATCCCGGAAGGACGGGTTAGAGGGTCTACTACCCCTCTTCCCCTGCCGCCAAATTCTCGAGAGAACTTCCGGCTGGCCCTTATTTATAATGTTCCCATGCCGCATAGACACTGTATGTTTACAAACATCCAATACTTCTCCGGGATTCAAACCAGGGTCCCTTAGTCAGTGTCACTAACCACTACCCAGGTTGGGCGGTTAATAGATCATAAACTTCATAAACCCTTTTTCAAAACTTTTGTTCGTATTCTTAGCCTAATTTTTTTTTTTTTTTTTTTTTTTTTTTTTGTTGTTATTTAAGTGCAATTGCTTGTATTATGATTAGGTTCTATTCTGTATATTATAGAGAAAAATATTTAAAAAAGTTTGATGAAGAAAACCATTCCTTCAAAAGTGATTAATGCAAGAAAAGGCTTAGGAAACACTGATCTAGACTTGCGCATCTAGACGCATCTTGCGCATGCGTAGAAGCACACGGTATGAAGGAAAGCGAAGCTTCAAAGAAGAGGAACAAGTCAGATTTGATTTTTCTGTAACCGTAACATGGTATTACGTCATCTCTGGTCAAAAGATGGCAACAAAGTAGTGTTTATGTCAGCCTAGTTCTGTTTTTAAGTAACGTAGAAACAAGATGAATCCGAAATACGCGGATCTCCCAGGAATAGTAAGATTATTAAAATTTATGTACATTGTATTGAAAATTTAAACGATTGTTTTGTTCTGACGTATGATTAGGTCTAGGTCTTTAAAAGAACTTAAACTTCGTACAGACCAAGATTTGAAATATACTGTTTCTTCTTTAATTCATACAGTGTCTCACAAAATTTTTCGGGCACTTTAATTAGCAGACAAAGCGCTGTAACTCAAAATTTAATTCGAGTATAAAGCCCAATATTTTTTCATATCATCTCGGAGTTACTTTGAATAAAACTAAACTTTTTAATTTTTAATACTGACTAATTTTCCCCTCATTTTCTAAAATTGAAAATCTAAGGAGGCATAGAAAAAACACGCCACAGAAGTGATCGTACACCGAAACATTTTCGTAAAATTTCATAAATAAAATTATCCTCTATCACTTACTTTTTTTTGCATTTTGGTGAGGTTTAAGAAATTGTTTGGCATTATTTTTTTGGTTGCTTACTTCGTTATATTTTATTTAATGTTTAAAAATGGCTAGTAGTAAAAGGAAGCAATGAGCAGCATTCGAAAATTGAACATATTTGTATCATAAGGATGGAAATTCAATTCGGGATTTCGCTAAATTTGTAAATTTAACCCATTCTATGATGTAGTATGTGATAATATGCTCTAAGGAAGAAAACTGGATCCAAGATAAAGTAAGAAGCGGTTGTCCGGCAAAGATGATTGGACGTGACTCATCATGATCATATATTTATAGTTAGAATATCTATGAGAAATCTTTGAGAGTTGTAAAGATTTCTACAGAATTTACCGAAAAAATTTCTACTTCAGTTTCACTTAAAACTGTTTGATGAGTGCTCAGATCAGCTTGATTACATATGTGTTCTGCTCGAAGAAAATTTTTTGGAAGTGCAAAAAATAGAAAGCTTAGGCATTTCTTCTCAAAATCAATGGTAAATAACCCTGAAGTGTATTGAAATTATGTTTTATTTCCATATGAAAGCAAATTTAGCATTTTTGGTTCCTATGGGTGCATAATTTTAAGGAAAAAAAAAAAATAATAAATAAAAATAAGGAGCTTAATCCCCAGACTGTGGTTGGAACAGTAAAGCATGGTCATGAAGGTTTTATAGTCTGAGGGTGCATGCCAGCATCAAGATTAAATAATTTAGTGTTTATTGATGGCACAATGAACTATGTTCTTTGCTTAAATATTTTAAAAGATAATTTAAAATAATCTGCCCAAAATTTGGATACTGAAAACAACTTTATTTTTTGTTAGGGTAACGGTCCTAAGCACATGGCGTTCAACATTTGTCTTTTGGATGTCTATAGTTGTCCACAAGTTCTGAAAATACCACCTTAGTAACCAGATTTAAACCCAGCAGAACACATTTGGACAGAATTAGAGGTTCGAGTATGAAGACACAACATTAAGACAAAAACTAAAAACAGTAATGATGGAAGAATGGAAGAATATTGATGCAGATATTACAAACAAAAAAGTGGTAAACTCTATGCCCAGACGTTTGAAACCTGTCATAAATACTGCAGGATATACTACAAAATACTAACGGACAGAAATACTACAATATTTACTAAATATATGCAGGTTTCTTTAAAGCGTACAAACACTTTTGTGAGGTAACTTTTTTGTTACTTTTTTTATTATTGATTTAAAAAAAAATTAATATGTTTATAAAATAATTAATGTATTTTTGCTAAGAGAAGTTTATGGATATTATTAAAAGTTTTTCATTATAAAATATTATTTCTTAGTAATGAATAAAGCAATATTTCACTGAAACTTCTAAGTGCTCGAACACTTTTCTGAGCCACTGTGTATAAAAGTGTCAATTTTCAATTAGTGTTAGATTTTAGCATATGTAGTTACAGTCAATAATGTAATTTAAAAATATGTTTTCATACTAAAAATATGCATACGTTTTAAGGTACAGGTTGCAAATAAAATACTGTCTGGATATGTACACATTTATCAAACATCATCATTTTAAAGAAAATATTACCTATTTTATGAATATTCTTCCTTGATGTAATGTTTTATTATCATTTGCAAATTAAATATAAACTGTAATAAGATTATTTATTTATTTACAAATGTTTAGTTTATGTTTGACATACATGTACAGTGAATTAAAAGAAAAGCCTTCAAGCATTTTTTGAAAGAATGGTTAAATATTTAACTTGAAAGAAATCTTTTCTTACATGTTACTCCGTAATGTTAAGAAAAAGTTGAAAAAAAAAAAAAAAATAAAATAAAATAAAATAAAATACAGTAAAAGTATAGTTTGGGTTACCCCTTGGCGATTTTTGGCGGTACATGGATACTGAGTTTGTGCAATTTGTCTTGTTATTTTGGCTTTGTATAGCGGCAATTTTTGGCGCAAAAATCGCCGCTACACAAAGCCAAAATAACAAGACAAACAATTGCACAAACTCGGTATCCATGTACATCGACTATTTTCACTTATAAAAAATCCCCAATTGCATAAAAATGGCATTGCGCAATCCTTTGACTTTTTTTTTTTTTCATGAATTTTTTTTTTTTTTTTTTTTTTTTTTTTTTTTTTTTTTTTTTTTTTTTTTTTTCCCCCACTTCGACCTTTACTTTAAAAAAAAATCTCCGAATTGCACAAAAATGGCATTGCACACTCTTTTGATTTTATCCATGTACACGTCGACCTATTTTCACTTAAAAAAATCCCATAATTTTACAAACTTCCATTGCGCACTCCCTTTACTTTGTCCATGTACAGATCGATATCTTTTCACTTAAAAAGTCAAAGGAGCACCAAATTCTACAATATCGGCAAACAAAGATACATAATCTCAATAAAATACATTTTAAACCAAACAATAAAATAACATAAAAAAGGAAAAACATGTTATACATTTAAGCACTACGAAAAGCAAATATTCACTTACCATGATTTTCGAGTTTGCTTCGTACACCCAGAGCCACGTAAAAATCAAAATATCAATCTTACTCAAATGACTTTTTTCAAACCGGGTACTCTTTCCGATTGAACGCTTCACATAGTGACCATCTGAACCTTTCTTTCTACAAACCCATTCAAAAATGTAATATGTAAAATATAGATTTCAGTTGCTAGAAGCACTTGTGCAACCACAGACCATTTGGCTACTCCCATTTAGTTTTATCAAAAAAGTAAGATTCTATTTGAAGTTTAATACTATTGGGTTTCTGCCAAATTATTTGCTTTCCATCACTCTCAGAAGCATTGAATTTACTTTTATCTGCAAGTGCAACTGAATTCCAAAAATCTTAATGCTTAGGTATAGGTTGTATCAAAATGTGCATTCCCTTTGTTGCTTTACTGAGAAATGTTTTTCTTCCTTTCCTACCTCTTTAGCACTGAAAGTTCCCTTTTTTAAAAATATTCCTCACAGATCTGTGTTAACCAGATTTGCCAAATATTCATTAGGTGTCTGAACGCAATTTAACTGTACTGATTTTAGTATTACAAACAATATTTTTTATGATCCATCTGTCTTTGCAGTAATGACACATCTTACACCACCTGTTTGTATTTAAAATTAGGCAAAATGATTAACCAATTCCACGTTTTCTGACAATTCCTAAAATTGGCAATGAATGGGCAATTTGTCAGGTGTGTGTGTGTGTGTGTGGAGGGGGGGGTTTGTGCAGATAATCGGAAAATATCCAAAATTTTTAATTTCGATGATTATGAGACACAAGTCTGTCTTCAGGAGCAAAACTTTTTTTTTTTTTTTTGCTTCCAAAGATCATTAGAGTTGTGATGTAGTGGGAGTTTTTTTTTAGTAATGAAACTTATAGAAACCCTGTCTCAATTACTTTTATAGCTTATATAACTGATTTCAAACTCCTTATATTTAATCTGCAAAGAGACAAATAAATTTGATTGTTTGTTGAAAATGAAGTAGTTGATGGTTGTAATGCAATAACTATTTTCTGAAACCATAAAATTTATTCTCAGCTTTTCTTGAAGAAGTAGAAATGAGTGCCTTTATTATAATAAAGTTTCTATGATTTTTAATGCTGATACAATTTTCAGTGGTTTATTTAACTGTTTATCTAATATTCGTTTATTTTTATTTAGGCTCATGATCAGCCAGATTTTTAATGCTGATACAATTTTCAATGGTTTATTTAACCGTTTATCTAATATTGGTTTATTTTTATTTAGGCTCATGATCAGCCAGATGTATACGAAACAAGTGATCTGCCTGAAGCAGAACAAGGAAATCTTTCAGTATCTGATGCCATTGTTGTAAGAAATGTATTTGTTTTCTCTTTTAAGTTATACTATTTGATTTAAATACAGTCTTCCCATTTAAATTGATCCCTGCAATACTTCTGCACATGAGAGAAAATTTAAATCATTTACAAAAAAGTGTAGTCAGTTTTGCCAAAATTTGTTAGTTTATTTCATGTTCTGGTAAAATTTTGCTGCAATCTTATTTTTAAGCAACCAGAAATCAACACCATTCAAGAAACCAGAAAGCACAAGAAATATCATCAGAACATTTCCATTAAATAACAGAGAAAAGATTTTATTGCTTGCATAAGAGGGGAATCTTAGAAACTTTAATTTCTCCTCTAAAATGGTAATCAAATTTTCTTGGCACATTTCAAACAAGATGTGTACTTGTGGAAACGCATGTGCATGTCTAACCATAGTAGTAATTACAAAAAAGGGTACTATTCGGTTTTGAGGGCCGTAAAAAATCGCCAAACTATTGTTGATGCCAGTGCTGCCAAAAATAATTGTGGCAACCCTAATGCAAAAAGGACGTATTATGTAAATAACTATCTAAGATTGATGTTTAATTAGATGAAAAGTTAATTTCAATACTTTTTTTATTATTATAAGATATAAAAAAGGGCTAAACATGCTGGCGGATAATGGAAGCATAAGAGTAAAAATATTTCAGATCATTTATAATTTATAAAATGCTAAAACAACTAATAGATGCCGGCAACGCTTTTTCGCTGCAGATTAACGCTAAAGTAAATTTCACTCGTTGGTTTCAAACGAATTTTGTAATGAATTTCTTCTTTCGTTTTTCGAAATTTCTCGGTAAAGTGCAGAATTGCCCATTATTTGTTTGCTGCTTTTACAAGGAAAAACAATTGGATTTGTCAATTTTCTTTTACTTTTTAAGTGAAATAGGCGATGTGTACATAGATAAAGCCAGGTATGCACTTGCATTTTTGGCAATTCTGGGATTTTTTTTTTAAGTGAAAATAGGTCGTGTGTACATGGTATGAGTATGTGCAATTCTTAAAAACGCTCAAGCAGTGCGTGATTCTGCACTTACCCAAAATTCATTACAGGCTTTTTCATCATGGGCCAATTCCCAATTGTTAAATCCATAGGAGATCAAAAAATGATTAAAAAAAAAGTATTTAAAATTAAATTAGTACTCAATGGCGTCTTAAATATGGAATTATATAACTTATGCAATCTGAAATCAGCTTGTATGCTAGATTGGCGCGCAGTTAAATGGCGCGTTTGCTAGATTTGGTGCTTTGTGCATATATTTTTTGCTCAATTTTTTTACGGTCCCTCGAAATGAATATTACCAAAAAAGTAATATCATTTGAATTGTGCCTAAAAATTAGCATGAGGATATCTCATGGGAAAAGCAGACCAAACTAATGGGACTATTTTCAATACACTTTTATAGGATGTCTAATATCATCTTTGAAATGATGTTCCTTTCCATTTAAACTTCTAGAGCAAATCAGGTATGGTATTTGCTTCAGCTGTAATAAAGTCATTCCATTTATCAATAGCTATGTGGGCTTAGTTGGTTTTGATGTTTTTAAGATGCAGTTTAAAGTAGCTGTTGAGCTGTGTGCAAGGTATGTTACCTAATACTTGGTAATATAAGAGAAGATAGCCTGCTGAAATAGAGCATTTTTTACTTGGGTAATATAAGAGAAGATACGTTGTTGAAAATAGAGCATTTTTTACTTGATAGAATGAATCCTAATATTCACCTGTTCTGATTATATTTATCCTTCTAGCTGAGAGTCGGGGATCTTACTGTGTAATATAGGTGTAATTATGGCTGTGATATATACAGAACTCTAAATAACAATTGGTTTCAAGTCATAATTTTAACATTTTGAGCAAGAAAATTGAGTTTACATTATGTATGATGTTATATGTATAATAAAACTGAATATTTGCAATTTCATGGGTGAGCATATAATTCACATTTTACATCATCAAGGAACACTACAATACAACAGTCATCCTTTCAGTGAACTTTGCTTTACCAGTATCGCAACTCCTTGCTAATAGGGAAGTGACAATAATCATCTTGTGGAAGAGTATATGATTTTTTATTCTAAGGATGATTTTTATGTGTTCTACTGTAAAATTTCTAATTTTTTCACATTCTTGACAACTGTTAATAATATAACATGCTAAACATTCTGCTTTCCCCTTGTCTTGCAGATTTTCCTAATACAAATCTTAATCTTACATCTTATACCTGATTACCACTTAACAAACATAAAAACTCTTCTATATATGTATGCCAATTTTAAGTAGTGCTAAGTAAGTATAAAAATATTTTTCATAATACTTTATGAAAACCTAAAAAAAATATGCTTTTGTAAATTTTGTGAATATAGTCAAACAGTCAGTTTAATTAAACATTGATAATTTTCAATTTTTGTAATAATTTGCCTCAGAAAACATATTTTCATAGTCAGTCTAAAAAGACAAATTTTACTAAGTTTTTTACATTTGTGTACATTTAAAATTGCATATTCAATATTATTGTCTATTTTAGGACCAGTGTGAAAGTGTCGAGACACTTAAAGTCTCACCAAGTGATGCTTATAATAAATTTAAAGGGAAGACTGTAGATGGAAGTAGTGTAGGTAAGCTGTTCTGCTTCAGCGTAAATTTTAAATATTCTATGTGATTCAGGCTCATTAACCATTGATAAAAATGTATCAATTCCTTGAAAAATGCAAAAATATTAATTTTTTATTAAAAAAATTTTAATTAGAGTTTCTATTATATAATTGCCTCTTTTCTTTGATCAGATTAGTCAGTGGCAAAAATATAAAATTAGCTTATATTTTTTATGTGTGAACGTTTTGGTTTATACAGAGGCACTTTTACTGCGCGATTTGGGAAGAAAGAAACCCAATTTAATGCACCCTTCGTCTATAACATGATTTCTCATTAATATTATTATGCTGTAAGCATTTAAACCATTTTTCTGAATACGGAACTTAATATTCATTGCTGTTAATATATGTGTATTAAAAGGCAGTAAAGTTTTAGTAAGCTTGGCACGTGTGCTTTCTTATAGTATGTTAAATTATGACTGTACTTGATAACACATATTTTGGTTCTTTATTTTATTGTTTAACCCGTAACAGGGGAGGTGAAAAAGTTGAACATAGCAGGGGACGTGCGGTCTCAGAGACGCGCTTATAATTTTTTAAAATCGGTCTAATTAAAATACATCATGATAGTTTCACTTAGATGTTCTTAGAACATTTTACTCTGAAAAGAAAATATGTTTTTACACTTTAAATGAAATTAAAGTTTTCCCAGAAATTTCCCTATAGCTCAAATTTTTCGATGAAAATCATATGCCGCACTAAATTCTAAATAAAACTAAAATAAGAATGCATCTATTTTGAATAACTATTTTATCTATATAGTTATATTCAAAGCAAATTTTAACATCAAAAATTGTATGTAGCACAATACAGAAAAATTTTGAATTACCTAAAATATCAGTATTTCACTGATTTTCTGATAGTAACAATTAAGTTTTCGGTCTTCTTTAGCATATTCATTGCATAACTTTTGCGTGCATTCCAAACAAACAGGGTCTTGGCAAGATAAACATAAATAACTGTCTTTCTTTTCCTGCTTGGGGGCACAGACGACATGTTTTCCTTGATTTTAATTTTGCTTCTTTTGTGCATGCTCCACATCCTTAGACTCAGCTTCTTTTCCTAAATCCGCTTTATCGTCAGGCGCAATTCTCGATTTATTCTTGATTTTTCCCTCTCGTGTGTAGTAGTGGTTGGACTAATTCTCTCGCTAATTCGTTCGAAAATACCATTCTGGTCATAAGGGTTTTGGGTTATAACCTTGGTGCAAAATGTATGCGTTTACTGTACTCAATCTACTAACCGGTAGAAAAGAGGCATAGGCCAACCGTTGTTCTCCTACTACAGGATGGACAGAACATTTTTCATCTAAAGCATCAAACCCACCTTTGGTTCTGTATAAAACCAATTATTTCAGTTTCTGTGTTTCCGAGCCTGTTACTATCGAATGATGCAATGATGACATCAAAACCACTGCTCGCCTTTTTTCGCAGAAAGTTTCTTCACAGTCATCTTCTTCACTAAAATCCTTCCAACTTCGTCTAAATTATTTCAGTTCTTCTGCATAACGTGGATCAGAAGGATAAAATCTCTGCGGACCTAACTTCAGAGCCATGTGTTCACTACTGCCGAAAATTGTAACACTGAGAGGGAGGTGAGTCTCGCAACCGCTCTAGAAGAATTTCAACATATACACTTGCCAAAGCATCCGATAAAAAGGGGCCAAAGAAGCTCACGAAACGTGAAGCTAGGAAGAATCCATTCACTTGGACAAAGCATGCAATAGGGGTGATGGGAGGAACATGTGGCGCGGTCCGTCAGACCGCACGTCCCCTGTTACGGGTTAAATAAAAAGTATTTTGAAAATGCTTCTGAAATTATTAAATATTCTAGTGCTTATAAATTTATTTTTAAACTAACATATTTGCATATTCCCCCTTTTTTTTATTAATTTTATTGTATGAAAATTGACAAAACAATTGTGTGAATAATTTAAATTTTTAAGAATGCAGTTAGAGTAAGAACACATCAAATAAAAGTATTCATGAATAATTTACCAGCAACTGTCATAATATTATTTATTTAAAAGAAACCTTTATTATAATAAAAATACATAGTAATATCAAATAAAATTTCCTCATTTTTTGTTTCCCTGTATCTTGAATATCACTCCACTATTGTTATAATCCACTGCTAGTCCTTAGATTTCAAATTAGTGCTGTTAAAACCGTTTGTTGTCTGCTACAGCTTGCAGGTTGTCAGCGTCATCCTTATTGTCATCATCTTCATCACTTCAATCTGTTTTCCCATATGCAGTGATCTTCTGAACCATCAGGTGTATTAGATATCCCCATTTGTTTCAAGTTCTTCATTATTTTAGCTTCATCAGAGCCATACACCTAAAATCTGCAAACAAATTAATTAATAAGATGAAAACAATCACAACATTGAAGAATCCATTTTAAAATTTAGAAGAGCTTTTTGAACGCCTTGAGAAAGAGGACAATTTGTGAGTATTTACAAAATTTTCATTTAGTTTGTGCTTAAAAAAGGCTAGGGGTGGAGAATGTGCGAGGGCGAAAAATTTGAAGTAAAAACAGTATTCACAGTTTTTTTTAATTTGAGTATTTAATAGTTCACCAAAAGTGCAAGAAGAGTGGCACAAGAAAATAATTAAAATTACCCTAGTGCACATATAAAAGCAAAAGATACTAATATTTGATTAACATTATGCAGTGGAGTTCAGTTCAGTGCAGATCTTAAATAATTTCTGAAAATTCATCCCACTGTTATTTTTCTCCATCTCCAATGAGAAGTAGCAAAGTATTTCAACCACTATAGTGAATTTTATAATTCTTTAGATAGATAAAATTTTGTACTGAATGTTAAAACATATTCTATTTAATTTATATTTTGATTAATAGTTTTTTAATACCAATGGAATGAATGTTCTAGAACTGAAAATAACCACATAAAAATGCTACAATATATATAATTTTTTGCTAAGAAGAAGTTATCTGAGGCCCAAGATTAGAGGCCAGTCAGCCTTCTGTCATCGAAAGTATCTTCCTGAAATATGTGAATTTGTTCTGCTGAGATTTCTGAATTCAGCTAAAAGTATAGTATACTTATGTTAGAGCACTGAAATGATTCAAGTACTGTCTTGCAACTAAATATATATTTGAATTTTGTAATAATGCTTTCACATCCTTTTGAGAAAATATAGCATGCTGAAATTTTATGTCTACTCGTGCAACTGATTTGATTTGCTTATTTCATCTGAATTATGAAACTTACAGTTTTTCTTGCTCTACAAATATTAAGTGCAAGGTCTTTTCTAGTCCCCATGTGATTATTAATAGTATGCCATGAGATATATTATAAGGTGATCTTTATTCAACACTTATAAATAAATCATATGTAGAAAATTTTTTCTGTGTTATAATATAATCATATTAATGTGGAGAACAATTTATTGGAAGATAATTCAATTTTGTACAGAATTTTTGTTTGTTTGTTTAGGAATAGATAGATACAATGCGAGATAATATTTTCATAATGAAAAGGCTATTGGAATTTCTAGAACTTCAGACTTCATTTTCTTTCCGTTGAATTTTTATTGAATTATATTAAAATTTTATTGTAGTCCTTATTAATTTTTGATTAAAAACATTCATAATATTATGAAATGAATACCCAAAATATAATTAGTTATAATTTCATATTATCTTGTGTATCATGACAGAAATTTTCATGGTAATAATTTTATAATGCATTGAAATTTTATGATTTTTAATTAATCTTAACATTAATTTATATTCATTCATTACAAAAGAACTTATTTTTAGATTTTACTGATGGCGTTGGACATCTTCGAAAAACTGGTTATGATATTAGATCTGGAGAGTGGGAAATGGTATGTATTTGTGTCAGAAATTCTAGATAATATAGTGTAATTTAATAAAATACTAGGTGTAAGAAAGGCTTGTGAGCTAAAAACTTTGAAAGTAGGCATGAATTTAATAGATTAACACTGCATTTGTAAAAAAATATGTATGAATGATTTTCAAACATTAATTTTCACGTTGTTGCCATCTTAGATGTGAAAAATAAGTTTCTGTATTTTTCCTATTCTCAATAAGCCTTATTTTAAAATTCTGATAGTTTTCTTAGTAGTATTTTTCAGTATCTGGTCCTTAAAATAGAGAAGAAAAATTTGCAAATTATGCGTATTTTTTCAAAAAGTGTTGAACCAAAGTTACTAATTATGCCACCAAAGAATTATGCAAATATTCAGAGTCAAATACATAAATGTACACATTTGTGACTGCAGAGCTGTAACATATAAATGGCAGAATGAGATGAAGAATGTTTGGTAGATTGGAAGCAGACCAATCGCAAGTGCAGATGACAACAGAGTTCACTGTAATGCTCAGTATCGTCTGCAGCTATTGAAAGCTGTTTCAGAATGTTAGATTTGTATTGAGAAGACCTGGACGAGGTCATCCAAAATCCACGACAAATGAAGATCGTTATTTGTTACGTTCGCTGCAGTGACACGAGAGAGCTACAGCTTTACAGCTCTCATGTAAACTGTATGCTGTCACTGGAAACTCAAGTTTTACAGTGTTCAGTTGCCTGAAGGCCTCATGAGATAAGCTGTATGCCAGAAGAACCAGTGTTTGTTTCCCAGTCACTGCAGTACAGAAGAGAGCACTTAAAGCATGGTGCAGGCAATATGCTCCTCAAACCAGATTTCAGTGGAGCATTGTAAGAGAGTGTGGAACATGATACCATCCCTCCCTCATCAGGAAAATTAGCATTACGGTGATGGAGGTGTAATGGTTTGGACATGCATTATGTTGTATGGCCACATACACATCCTTGCATGTGTTTAGCAAAAGCTCCATGACTGCTGTGAGATACAGAGAAATATTAGAGCCCTTTGTTCAACTCTTGTGGGGCATAGTAGGTCCTCTGCTTCTGTTAATGGACGACAACACTTGTTCACATAGGGCTCAGCTATTCAATGATAATCTGGAAAGTGAGAGCTCAGCTATTCAATGGATTGGCCAGCCAGTTTTCATGATCTTAACCCTATAGAGCATACCCAGGACGCTCTTAGAAGTGCAGTTTCATTTCACCATTCACCTCTGAGAATCATCCCCGAGTTCAAAACTGCTTTGCTGTAGGAGTGAGATCAACTGCCAGTTGCCACAGGCACTCCTTAACTGCCTTCTGCCCATTATGTCGTCATGCCTTATGATCTGTCTGGCTGTAAGAGGGTGCCATACCCCGGCTGTAAGAGTGTAATAGGTAGAGGAGACTGTAGAGGTGTAATGTGGGTGCCATACCCCACATTACACTCATTTTTAGTTCGGTATCGCAACATGTGTTTTAGACATCTCTGTACTATGAGCTTTAATTATAATCATGTATATATAAAATGACTCTTGAAGGGTACATCTCTTTCTCTGTTATAAGTGTATATTCATAATAAATTTTATTAAAATCTGTCTCAGTTTTTCAGAAATTCAACATTATGTGCAAATTCTTTTAAACACTAGTGTATAAGTGTGTATTGTAGCATTACCACTGACAATAAAGAGAAATTGCAGATTACCTGTGAGCTGGGTAGTGCCCATGATTAATTCATAATTGTAATTAATGCAAGACCACTTGAAATAAACATGCCAAAAGAATAATAACCTATATTGTAATTAATGTAAAAAGACAATAAACAATTTATCTTATTAAGCAATTTCATCTGAAGAATATGTTTATTTGGTTATGTAAATTAAACTTGTTTCTATTCCTTCCTAACATCTCTGTACACATGCTGTTTGTTTCTGCTCGCATTAATTACTCTTGTATTTCTATAAAATTTGTTTTGTAATGGAAGATAAACAGCTGTATACTTGATTTATTTTTGCACTTGAACAGTTTACTTTTAATGGGTATTTTTATAATATTTATATATTCCAAATTAGGTACAGTTAAATTACATAACTGTTATAAGTAAAAACAAATTTAAAATGTTATGATATCATTTATGAATGCTGTTTTCTTTTCCTTTTTATACTTTTCATAGACAATTTTGTTTTATACTTTTTATTTTTGATTGTAATTTTTCTGTTGTTTTGAAAGAATAACTGTGTTTTTTTAGCAGATTGTGGTGAATCTAAAATTGATTGTACTTTTTTAGTCCATTGATGAAACAAAATATCACTCAATTACCATTGGTTAATTTAAACTTTTATCTTAAATATCTTTCAGCATTATTAAATAATATTTCAGTTTCAGTTTTTATGTTATGCAAGGATATACATTATTATTAGCATTATATCCAAATCTTCGAATAAGTATTAATTTTGAAATGAAACATTTTTTTGAAGTGAAGCAGAAGTTTGCTTTTTGCTGCTATAGAAATACATGCACTATGTAAGAATAATATGACAGGAATTTTGAAATGAAGAATTTCAGAAAGATTTATTCAAGTTCTTCTTAGCCGCCCTAAATGAGACTGGGTTAAGCAAAATTCTGGTTAAAGTGGAGAATGAAAAAAATATATTAATTGATATAAGTATATTAATTTTAATAATAATAAATAACCAGAACCAGAAATTAATAATTATTAAGACCTCGATTAAGAGTTGAGAATTTAAAACCATGGCTATTTGAAATCTGATTAACAGTTGTACTCCTAGCAAGATTAGATGATTGTACACTGTATAAGTATTTTTATTGTGATGGTATTTCACCTTTTGCTTAGGTACAAACAGTTACTAAGTACAAACAGTTAATAAGTATATCATTCACAGATAATATCTTGAGGTAAAATGGGCCACTGTATGCTAAGTGGCTGATCTCTTTGGATGCAAATTTATATTAACATGTTCCAACATTATGTGTCATAGAGAGATCAGGTGATTGGTTTTGCCAAGTGAGGGCATCAGCTTTATGGAGTAATCCTGATAGAACTACTTAGTATGTGACTAAGTTTTTGTCATCTTACTAAAATTTGTGGTTCACCACTTTTATCATCATAACAATGATGATAACAATATTTTTTTTAATTATTAAAATTTTCAGAAATTAAAAAAAAATTAACAGCTCTTTTATGGTGATAAAAACAACAATGGTGATAAAAGAGCTGTCAAAATGTATTTGACATACTGTACTGTCATGAAGGTTTGTAAAGGTCTGTTCAGATTTTTTGGCAGCTTAGATTCTTCTCAGATAATCACTTGCAGAATAGCTAACTTAAGATGTTTTTCAAAAGTAAAATTTTTGCATTTGCCAGCCTGTCTCTAGACAGGTATGTGAGATTCATTTGTGCTCATAGTAAATGAGCATTATTGAAAACAACATGACTAGCTGCATACCTCATTCATTGGGTGAAATATCTATGCAAACAGTACCAATAGTATTCAGTGACCACTAACAACCATGGAATGCTATTCTTCAAGTTGTCTTATAGTGAACATATCGATTCCTAAAAGTGACATTCTCTGCCTATGAATGATGTAAAATGTTTGATGAAATACTGATAATATGGTTATTACAAGCATTTTACTATGAAACTGTATTGTCTTCATGCCCATCCATTAAATGGACATCAGAAATGTGTTCTTTCCATGACCTTCAACATTGCTAGAATGCTATTTTACACCACTGTTGAACTGTTGTGCCTTCCTAACATAGTCAACTGCACCACAGTTTTATATTCCATAGATTTTGCCACTCAGTATATTGTAACTCTTGCCTTTGCATTTAGCTTTTTCCTTGATTTATGAAGTGCTGTGGTGAGCCACTATGCAGACACAGGCTCTGAATTTTTTAATCATTTGCACATTTGATCCTAAATTATCCAAATTATTTTCATTTTTTATTTCAAGTTATTTCATATTATTACAAGTAATTTTTTTTTTAAATCTATTTTATGACTTTAAAATGTGTGTACTGACACAGCTTGTATGTCTTTTATAGACGGCAGATCATTCTGAAGAAAAGGAAACACCTCTACAGACATATAATAGAATTCATTTTGAAGTGAAGCAACTATTTGAAAAAGTAAATGAGATGAAAGTGAGTAAAATATCAATGCCAACCATTTTGTAATCAAATAAATGCTGAGGAGAGTAACAAGTATGAGAATAGAATATACAAAACATTGTTTTTATTTTGTTATATATGTGCAAAATAAAACAAAAAATATTATTGTAGACAATCAGAAATTCTAATGATATAACTCTACTCCTGAAAAATAACTATGTTAAATTAGATTTTGAAAATAAAACAAACTAGCATAATAAATGTTCAATAATTTCTAAAATGTATTCAGATTCCTCTTACATAAAGATTTCAAAGGGGGGGCACTTTTGTAATAATTCAGTTATGATATTTGACTCATTCAGCAGCAAGGTTTACTAAAGTAGGTGAATGCTGACAATTTGATCCTTGTTTCAATTCCATGCATCAGCTGAAGTGCTGATTCTTATATGAATTTTATTGTGTGATTTTATGTTATTCTCTATAATGTGATTTTATATCCTTCTATGTATTGGGTCAGTCCATAAATTCGTGCGCATTTTTTGTAAATTTCTAAATAATATATAAAAACACAATTTAAACACAATTAATTTTAATCTCTACATATAATAAAAGAAAGAGTCTGTCTGTGTATATGTCTTTTGTTCGCTCTGTGCGTAAGCTAATAGACCCACGGCTACGAAATTTGGTACATAGGTGCATCTAGACAAGAGCCAATGCACCTCGAAGTGATTTTTACGAAATTCGAATTCGAATTTTTTTTATTTTATGTTTTCGAGAATGGGCTATAGGAAAGCGAGATTTTACTCTACACACTCCATTTTCACATCGTCATGAAACGTAGGCGCTTAGCTATTTTACAAACTTAAAATAAATTTTGTGTTTCAATAAATTGATTAAATACGAATTTATTTAACAAAGGGAGCTTAACACCTTTTCAACGGATTTTTTCTAAGAAAGTTTATTTGTCTTTGATTTTTGGACACGTTAAACATTCATATTTGCAACTACTTTTACAAAAAGAATTTTGGAAAAATGATAATGCCGTATTTGATGGCATATAAGACGCACTTTTTTTCCTAAATTTGGTTTCAAAAAAGTTACCTGCATCTTATACGTGAAGGACACAGATTAACTTTCAATACTGAATGCTGTTTTTAGCCCGGATAAAGGTCTAGACACACATAACTTTTTCTACATCTACATGTGTGTGGCCTTCTAAATAAGGGTGCGTCTTATATGCCGTCAAATACGGTATTTTGTATTTTTAAAAAATTTTTTAAATGAAGCTTCCGAGTACACTTCACATCTCGCATCTTTAAAAATGGGATTTTGGCAACAATTTTCCTTTCTCATTGCTGTTGATAGATTTTTGATGAAATTGCATTATTTTGAGTAGTTTCATTCTTTTAGAAATATGGGTTCGGCAACAATTTTTCAACGTATTTCTCATGTCACTGTTTTTAAGAGATTGGCATATTTCATTGTCATCTATCTATCTATCTATCTATATATATATACATTTTTCATATTTCATTGTCATCTATCTATCTAATATATATATATTAATACATTTTTTTGAATTTTGTTTGATAAAGTTGCCAGCAGTAAATTCTGCGCGGATTCTTTGTTTTTTTGAGTTTCTTTCATTTATTTTTTGCTTATTTCACTGTTGTAAGATATGAAAAGTTTGCTGATTTTTTTTTCTTCATGGAAGTGGTTTTTTTTTTTATTATGATAATTAATTTGTATTAAGGGATATAGCTTATTTCATTGCATTTTTTCTCTTGAAATATAAGATAAAATATCATTAATTATGCTTTGCTTTTCAGAATTTTTTGTTTTTTGTATTCTTTATGTTTATTTATTGCCCATTTCACTGTTTTTAAGATATTGAAAAGTTTTGAGTGATTTTTTTAGGAACAAAGTTTTTTAACTTCCTTTATACCATTTGAGTTCTTAAGATTTTTAAGATTAAAAGGGGAAGTTGGTTAATTTATTTATTAGGATAATTAATGTTAAGGGATATTGCTTATTTCATTGCGATTTTGTTATACGTAATAACTTTTTTTATGAAGTTGTTCTGCAGAGTAAAATTACACTCAGTTTTTTTAAATTTAACGTTTGGTGTTCCCTTCAGCCATTTTTCCGGTACATTTAAAAGCCAGACGAAGGCTGGCAGCGAAGCTGCTAGTCAATTATATATTTTCCTCCATTATCTACATTGTCTCGCCATCTTACAGGCAGCTTTTTTATGCCATTGCTGTAGAAAGACTGGCTTTGATGCAAAAAATCTTGAAAGTTCATATTGTACATCTTGTTTAGAATTTAATTTTTTTCCCAGTAAAATATTTTGTAAGGTACGAAATAAGTGAAAATTACTTGGGGCAATATCTGGGGAGTAAGCAGGATGGGGCAAAAGCTCCCAATTAAATTCACTAATTTTTTGCACAGTTGTTTGAGCTGTATGTGGTCTAGCATTATCATGATAAAACAAAACTTTCTTGATATTCTCCAATCGTGGGTGTTTTTTTGTTTGTGTCATTTGCACTATCTCCACCCCCAGGCCCATTAAAGCCGGGGGTCCCACAGGACAGTCTTCTGGGCCCTATTTTATTCAATATTTACACAAACAACATCCCCCACACACTACATACCACCCTTGCAGTGTATGCAGACAATACAGCAATTTTGACACAAAGCGCATCTCATGGCTCAGTTATACAAGCATTACAAAATCTTATCCATGCACTGGAGCCCTGGCTGAGGACCTGGAAAATCCAGATCACTGTTTCAAAGTCTGACGCTATCTTCTTTACCACAAGACAAAAATTCGATGCTAACCTGCATGTCAGAATGTATGACACTCTTATTCCCTGGGTGAAGTAGACCTGTTACCTTGGTGTCACTTTAGACCACAAACTCTCATGGTACCCACACATTTCCAGTATTCTTAACAAGTTCCAAGCACGCAAATTTACACTAGGCCTCCCTAATTGCTCGGAACAGCGTTCTCTCAATAAGTTACTCATTTACCAAACCATTTTTAGTCCAATTCTTACCTAAGCCTGCCTTGTTTGGGGATATGTATGTCATACTTCTATGCAAAAGTTGCAAACTTCACAAAATGTTGTCTTGAGGAAAGCGGTGACTTGCTGCTGGTTCATAAGAAACACAGCGATTCACCGTGAATTCAATATTCCTGAAATCAATGTTTACATGGCCAAACTGGCAGAGAAATTCTTCTGGAAAATTCCGGACGTCAATAATGCTACCATTCCTGAACTAAATTATGATTATTGTGAAAACAAAAATAGGAAAAGGTAATGGCTGTCCTAAGGTATATGACTTAACTATTTTTCTGTATTATGTAAATTTCCTGCAACTCTCACCGTATACCTGTATTATTACATATATTACACTTGTTCTTGTGTTTACTTGTTGCTTTTTCTGTAAAGTCTCCCAATTTAAATGTATTAGACTCTTATTTGTATCAGATTGATTGTATATTAGCATTTTTGTCAGTACTGGCATTTCTTTTATATTATGTATATTATTGCACTTGCTGAGCATCTACGAGCCTCTTCAGTTTTCATCGCCGGATTTGGTTTATCGGCAGTTAGGAACTTCTGCAGTTACAACTGTTGGATATTGGACTTCTCCAAATCCCAATTTTATGAACTCGCACGTATTCGAAAATCGTCAAGTTTGTTACACTGGGATAGCGATAGTTTCGCAGGAACCCAAGATATGCATACACACCGCGCCTGAACCAAAGATGCGTAGTGATAATGAATATATTAATGTAACTACTCCAATGTATTGATATATTCAAATGATATCCAGTATTTCTTAAAAATACTAAAGTTAAAAAGTATTTCATTGTAAGCTGTTCTATACAATTTCTGACATTTCTTTCAGAGTTTTTTATAACTTGACATTTTGAGAAAAAGGGAAACAGAAAATATATGTAAACCAAAATCTTGTCAGATAGTTTCAGTTCTCAGTTAGTGCAGCAAAAGTGTGCTTAAGACATTTGATTATGAGAATGGGATTTAAAAATATTTTTACCCTTTAAAGATGCATTTCTTGTTTAATGCCTGCCACTTGAAGTTGTATGTAACCAAATGTAAGTCATAGATTTTAATATTTTAAATATGTGTATCAGATTATAAATAAGTGAACGTTGTCAATTTTGTAAATATTTATTTGCTGCTTATAATGTTAGCACCAAAATATTTATTATAAATTAGGTAGTATAGTCAACATGGTATTTAGTAATGAGAGAGCTGATTACGCCTCTCTTTATATACATATATATGTGCCTGTTATCTTTTAAAATCCAGAATAAATTCATAAAAAATTTTTGCTTTGTTAATGATGGAAAACATTTACTTGTATCCAAGTGCTTGGTTTAAATATTGTGTGCATAAATAGTTTGGTTAGGTTCATTTAAGTATGGCAAAATACTCAAAGCTATCCATCTAAGAGGAGGGATGCCTTTGTAGAAGATTTTCTAAAGTAAATTGGCTCCTATACCCATTACTCATGGAAAATACCAGAAAAACACCCATCCAGCCAGCCCATTTGCCGGGATTCGATCCCCAGCGTAAACTACCACTATCTAGCGAGTTTACTGGTCTGTCATTGTTGAGCCCTTTTATTTATAAATTAAAGAATATAGAAATGTGTTTAGTTAAATTATATGGATGTGAGTACAGTTAAACATGTGTAATAGAGGGTCTAATGAAGCCAGATATGTATTTGCTATTTAAAAACTTCAAACTCTAGACAACAATCAATGATAAATAAATGTTTTCACAAACTTTATTAAACTAAGCTTGAGTTCCAAAGTCTTTCATACCATTTCATGATAATTTTGAATTTTGAATTTCCAATTTATCTAATCTTAATGTAATACTAGCGGGCAAGCCTGCCAGCTGAGCGGGCTGAAGCCCGCTTTTCATTGTTCAATGTTCATGAGTTCCCATTGTAATTTCGCCGGTATTCGAAAGTTGGACCGAACTACCAGTGTTCAGCGGTTTTCAGCGGGCTGCGCCCGCTTTCTTCGTATATGCATGGAGAAGATACTGCATAAACGAGACACATGCGTAAAAGCAAGAAAACACCCATAGATGCAGCCCGTTCGCCGAATTAGAGTTGACCAAACTATCAGTGTTTCAGCGGTTTTGCGCGGGCTGCGGCCCGCTTTATTCACGTATGCATTCAAAAGATACTGCATACACGATACACATGCGAAGAATCACGAAAACACCCATGTAATATAGTTCACTGTATTTTGCTTTTCGTCTCTTCTTTCGTTTGTTTAATTTTATTAAATGTAAAATATTTAATACAACATATGTATATATATATAATACATATCTATATGAAAATAATGCAAAGGTATCTTCATTCTCTGTTGTGCAAATATTATGATGCATAAATGGGATGTTTATCAACATGCTTTAATTGTAAGCTAGTTAACATGTTAAATAACGAAATATTACTTTTAGGAATCTTCAGAAAAAGAAAGTGAGTCTAATCAAACATCTCCTGCTATGCTTATGCAGCAAATAGAGCAGTTACAGAAAGAGTTGCAGAATTTACATATGGAGAAAATATTAGGATCTGAAGCCCTTGCTGAAATGTCAGATCCTTTAGGTGCCTTACACAAGTATGTTCTTTCAAGTGAAATATTTTCTAATACTTTGTAGTAGTAGTACTATGGGTACTTTTCCGTTTTGCCTTCGCAAATCTCACCAAGCAGACTTTGTTGGCGACAACAGACAGCATACACATAAAAAATGTTAACAAATTAGTTAAGTTCTAAGAATTTTATATTTTTAAGGCATAAAGATTTTAATATGGTTTGCAATTTTGTAAAAAGCTAATAAATAAAGACAGTAAATTTGTAAAAAGACATTAATTTAAGAATTTACTATGCTGTCATGGTTCAACATCCTGATTCACGGTTCGTATCACGTGACCCCAAGTGACCCCACAAATTTCATGTTCCAGATGAAAAGAAACTAAATAACACTGGGCATATGCCAGTGAAATTTAGAAGATCCAGGCAGTGTACATTTTGTAGCACAAGGAAGAAACCTCATAGAACAAGATACGTATGTGAAATGTGCATCTATGCATGTACCAAAACAACAAAACATGCTTTGAACAGTGTCACAAAAAAATGTGTTCTTTGAAATTTAAAAAGAAAACAATGAAAAAAAAAAAAAAAACTTTACTGAGTTTTTTTTTAATCCATTTATCCGAATGTCACTTATTATGTAGGTACTTGTATTTTCACTCCTATAGAAAAATTACATAAATGTTTATTTTAAAATTTTTCTGACCATTTTTACTTTGTCATTACTAAAATAATGCAAAAAATTTACATATAATGCAATTCTTGCATACATTTTTTTAAAAATTCGTAAATCTCGTCATTATTTATTGGAAACGCTCATGGAAAAGTAAGTTTTCTTTTTTCCCTACTGCCACTTAGCAAGTTTCAAAGTCCTAGACGCATGCTGGTTTCGCAGTGCAATCACCACAGAACAATGGGCAAGAGTACAGTACCCACAGAACAATGGGCAAGAGTAGATTTTTTTAAAATTCATATATTACTTGTCTCTAGAATCATAATATTAAATTTCTAGAGTTTTTAGTTTAATATTATGAAAATAATATAGCACGTGCCAAAGGGTTAAAGAGAATTGAATTAATATAATTAGCCAGAAAGTCTGGAAAGGCTTCAAATTAAAAAGATACATAAATATTTTGTTGAGTATTGTTGCTACAAAACGTAAATGTTTTTTACCTTTTAATGAGTAGTTATCTTAATATCGTTTAAGAAACAATGTTATAAATTACATGCATTTTAAACTGTGACATCTTAATAGATTGTGAGTTTAATAGAGCATTTTTAACAAATATTTTTAAAAAATAAATTTAATAGTGGCCATGTAACTCGAAAATTTATAATGACTGTAACTAGCTAATTTAATTATTTGTATCTAACTGTTACCCTTAAAAATTATCTCTGCATATTAAAGTGAGTTGTTGCCTTTCATTAATTTTTACCATGGTCACAAGATACAGCACAAAAATATAAAAATTAATGTAAAACTTAATTATCTGCATGCAGTGAGACGTAAAATAATACAAAACAACTTACCACCTCTGATGCTTTAGTGGCTTATTGGAACCTTAAAATATATTATTTGGGTTACAATTCCAGGAACTCTATATGAAGTTATGACTCTAACTGTGTCAGACAGAGCACAAGTAACTTTCAAAACTTGCCAACCATGCCTACATCAGGCTTCCAGGTTTGTTCTGATCAGCAGACCTCTCTCTAGGCAAGCAGCAGTGGTCGCAACAGCCAGTCTTCTGTAACGAATCATGCTGATTATGATTTAACTTCCCATTTTAGCCTATGCCATTTCACATAAAATATACCTGCTATTTACTAAACCTCTAAACTGAGGAAGTGCATGACAAAATGAGACATAAAAGAAAAAATCAACATAAAGCCAACTGTTAGTAAAACATAAATAAAATGTCACTAATATTCTTTCAGATATATATGTCCAACTAATATAAGGGTAAAATATTTATTACTACCTGATAAAGTTTATAAAGCTGATTTTATTCTCAAGTTTGTTTTATAATTATGTTTCTTAAATTATGTTAAATAATAATGTATTCTACTTGTGGATATATTTCATTCTTAGGATAGTATCACAAAAGTCAAGTTCAGGCATAGTTAATATTTTTAATTGAATTTATTCAGTTCCCATTTGTTGATAGGTTCTTAATTTTTTTATTAATAGTCTTTCAAAGTACTTAGTTTCCATGTGCAGAAATGTGTACAAACCCTATTTATGGTATGTAGCTGCTTACTTGGTTAGGAGCCTAATATAAACTAAACTAAACTGAGTGGTACTTGTGGGCCATGGCCTTCAGTGCCTTGATGTTTGCTTTCCTGACCATGGGTTCTGGGGTGTGGGAGCATATGCTCTGAACAAGTGGTCAGCTTGTCGCAGGACCCTTGGTGTTTAGTCCCCAAGTGAACTTGATACTCATTTTATCGACACAGTCAAGGGATGAAAGTTTGAGTAAACCTTGTTGAGCCCAGGGATTGAATCTTGGACCCGTGGTGCTGCTGCGCGATGCACTATCCACTGTGTCAACCAGACCTCAGGAGTCTAGTGATTCTAAAAAAGAAAAAAGAATGTAATTATTTTAAGTTATTCAAGTAATGTAATTTCATAGTTTTAGCTAATAATAATAATAGTTGAAATGAATCTGCATTTATTTCTTTTAAATCATTTAGTTTGTTAGTTAAAAATAGAATTAATTTGTAAGAAAAATTAAATATTTTATGCTTTGCTGAATAGTGTCACGTGGAAGATAAAAATATTTAATATGGACAGTGGCATACATTTCTTTTAAAGCATTGAGTTTGTTGATTAAATTCACAGAATAAACATATTATGTTTTGCTTAGGGGTAACTCACTTCTTTTATATCTCTTTATTTTAAAGCCAATTGTATGCATTTTATATATAATATTGCAGTGCAAGTTGGATGTTCATATTATATTATTCATATATTTAACGATAGATGAATTCCCAGTCTGTTTTAGTAGCTATTTGTGCTTGTTTATTATTTATATACTAAGCAACTTGCAGATAAATGGTTTGTATATAATTACTAAGAAAATAGTGATGGTGTTATTATTTATGCATGCTGTGTTATAAATTATGTAGGAAACTTATAACTCAGCTAGAAGCTTTCAAAACGAAACCAGTTTCTGACAAAAAGGCCAAAGCTTCACCTGCTTCTTCTGAGGAAGAAACCGTTAAATATGAATTGTTTGTGCGTCCTGATCAAACTAAGTTGAAACAAGAAGCCAAGGTAATGTCTTATTTTTGTAATTATTAATTATTGGGACTATCTGGAATAAATAGTCATTTTAAAATTTATATATATAAAATTGACCTGTTCATTAATATTCATATATTTTATGCTATGAATTTTAGCTTGCAAGTCTTGAACAACGTTTAAAAAACCTAGAAACTATTATTGGGCAAGATAAGAAAAAAATGGTAAGTTTTGGATGACAAATACCTCACTTATGCCCCCCCCATTATAGGGTCATTATAATGAAAATGGATTTGATGCACTCTAATTAGTTGAGAACTTTTCACACCAGTCTTTATATTAGAATGTTCTCAATAATGGCTGATCATTATAGGAAGTATTGACTCTCTCTATGGATACAGTACCTTCCACTTTCCATTCCAAACATGCTAGTTTTGAGTGGCTGGGTTTAATAGATAGCAATTTATGTATCGTAAATCATGATATCAGTTTTAAGCACTTCAATTAAAATATTAACTAATAATTAATTCAATAATTAATCCTAAAATGCTTATTAAAAATTAATGCTAAATTTAGATATGCAGTTTTGAAATGTATTTTTTAATTAAAAAATATTTTCAATAGTTTTTCTCAAAATTTACAGTGTTCTTCTAAATTCAGTTGATGTTGCATAGCATCACTTTTTCCTGCATCACTTTCACTCTCATTTTCTGCAGTTCTTTTAACCCTCAGTTTTTACACACATTGCCTCAGTATTTCTGCATATTGATACATGTTATATAAATGGATTTTATAACTTCCTTCACTGATGTTTCAGACGTTACCCATAGCTTTCAATTCCTCTAAGGCATTCCTTCTACATTAAAACCACATTTTCAAAAGCACTTTTTAACTGATTTTAAGAGATTAACTCTCTGCATTGATTATGATATGCATGGCTTATAGCAGAGATATCGACTTACTTATCTCTTTCAAAGTGCATTTTCAAAAAATTCAATTCCGTTTATTATTTTCTGAACTCAGTAATGGAATTTGAAAATGTTTTATAATATCCTAATTGAAGGCTGAATGTTAGAGTTGTATTTGCGGGAATTGGCACTAATATTTTTATGGAAAGAGATCACAGCTGTGTTCGCAGCACAGTTATCCAATTTAAAAAAAAAAAAAAAAAAAAAAAAAAAAAAAAAAAAACGCTAATATTTCATTTATGAGTTCTTATTACTGTGGTAAGTTAGAGTAAATTCTAGATTCCTTTCAAACATCGAGGTTTTTTTGCTGTCTTTTTAATTGTTAGGACAATGTTGCACATTAATAACACAGTAACACATTCCTCCTTATTTGGGAAATGCGAACTCCATAAATAATAGGTTATCTGGGAGTTATCATTAACCATAGGCTTACATGCATTTGCCATGTTAAGCGCATCATAGTAAAAGCTTGTGGTGTCACCAACCAACTTTCTGTAGTTCATGAAAACTACTATGGACTGTCTCTGAACAAGAGAAGGAATTACTTACCTATTATAAGGTAAATTATATGCTATGCATCTTCGGCCTGGACCACAACCTCAGATGCAGACTTCCGCAAATATCAGGTAGTACAGAATATGCTTCTGAAAGAACTGTAAATGCTCATTACCTGATTAGAAACAGACTGTTTACTAAATGAGTGTTTTTCAAAATATTGGAATAGCTGTGATGCTGTAAATTTTTTGAAAGTATTTAGTTACCAAATCATTTCAGAAAATAATTTGATCATACCATTTGCTACACACATGGTTAGGGACCACAGTGTCATAACTAAGCTTAGATTGTTTAATTTTATTTATTTTTTACATGGTGTGTGACTTTTGTTTCTCATCACATTCCATTTGATTGGTATCCTTGCAGTTTGTGATCTTCCTCTTCTTTTACCTCACTTTCTTAAATTTTATTGGCATTTCTTCTAGCTAATCAATGTCATGGGCCCTCAGAGACTTAATTGTCTTAGAGCTTATTAAGGCTCCCCCATGGGCCACATAAGCAATTTCCTAATCTATATCCATTCCTCCAGTTTCTTAAACCAACTTCTGTTTCACTATTAATTATTGATGTGCATTTTTTATAATTTTCTGTAATGCAGTTCAGTTTCATCTATATTATATTTCATGTGGCTTGCATTTATTTAGCAGTCCAACTGAAACATCTTATCCAGTTTTCAGCTGCATTATGATCTGCTTCTTTCTTCACACCATGCAGTCTACTGAACAATGCTGGATTTCTTTTTCTCCAACTTGTAAGACATCTGTCATTTGATGCCAAATTCTGTTCTAGCATTTAGCAAATTAGTGAAGTAAGCTCTCAAAATAGACACACTTTTTAGTTTTATACCTTGAAACCATTCTAAAAAAGCAATTCCAACATCTATTGATTTTCAATCCCCCACTTTTTTTGTGTGCTTTCTTGACACATTTGCATATTTATTATTACTTCTTCATTAATTTATTTGTTGTTTAATAAATTGCTCAGTGTTGTTTGGGAAACTTCCAGTTTAAATGCATTTTCTTTTGTCTGAAATTACCAAGAACATCAAAATCTTTTAACAGTTTATCCTTTTTTCTCAGATTTAAATCATTTTGCTTGGCATTTTCAGCTTGTTACAAATTAAGTACACAATAGATTAAAAAACTACTACTTCCAGTGATTCATTCAAGTTTCAAAACTTAACATTTCTAATAAGCAGAAAAATCACCCTTATGTCTAGTTTGCTGATCTGCCTCTTTATGTTTACAAGCATGACCAGTGCCTTCTTTGCTTTTTCTTCAGCCAACAGTTATCACTTCCTTTTCATTCAAAATCTGTTAATGTAGGGAAATGCTAAGAAGCATTTCATGAACCTTTTTAACAAGTCTTTGTTAATATAATATATCTGTCCCAAAGGGAGAAGTTTGAATGCAACATTAAAGCTGGGATACAAAAGCTTCTGGAGCAGCGGTTCTCAACCTTTTTAGAAACGTGTACCATCTAAACAAAAATGAAAAACTTGTGTACCACCCCTACATTTTTCAATTTCTCAATAGAAATATTGCAAAAAAATATATTTTGCCATTTGCACAACCTATTGGCTATTTGTATTAAATACACACACATAAAATATTAGATTACATATTGATTACCATTTTAATTATCAAAATAATACTTTAATCCTAAAATTTAGTTTGTAATTTGGGCCTGTTCAGGAGAGATCAATTTCTGTATGACTGGTCTTATTTTACTTAGTTTTAACTGTAAATTAGGATCCACTTTTAATTTCATTCTGTATTTATTTTTCAGATATGACATACAAGAAAATCCTTGTTCACACAAATAGGGTGTGCAAAAAGGAAATACAAGTGTAATATCTTTATTTGAAATGCCTTTAATTTTTTTTTTTTTTTTTTTTTGTTGTTCAGCCAAATGTCAACAAGAGCATTATTTTTGAAATCTTCAGTTAGGAAATTTCTATCAAGTGTTAGTTTTCTTCATGAAATTTTTTAATTTAATAGTTAGAAATACCGTGTTTCTTTGCATACCACCTATTTTTCTGTTGTGTACTACCAGTGGTACATGTACCACCAGTTGAGAATCGCTGTTCTAGAGGATTGTTTTTGTCAACCTGAAGATAAAATAATTCTCCATTTTCCTTTGAAGTTCAGTGCAGACAAAGAACTCTGACAGAAACTCTGACAGTGTGTGTTTATGTACCAGGATTGGGACAGAACTAAATTAATCATTAAGCAAAATAAGCACATGCTTAGGGCATCAGAAATTGCACACTATGAAAAGGTACTTAAGGTCTCAGGCAAGGAAGCATCACAAAAATTTGTTATTGCCATCTTACCATGAAATGTGGGGTGCAGCTAAACCAAAACCGAGAGAGATTAGGTAAAAAATTGGCGTAAATATTTATGGGGATGCTAAAATCTTTCTAAGTGCTTAGGGCCTCTTTAAATCTTCATCCAACCCTGGACTGGGGAATAGAGAAATTTAGTTCAAACCCATTTGATTGAAGCATTACATACCAGAATGATAAAACCACTGTCTGCAATATGTTAAACGGATAAACTGAAAAGTTTTGATACGCATAGGTATTATGGCACTGAAGAACGAGTCTTTTGCTAATCTGGGTTTTATAAATGGTGGAGATGAGTTTAATAAATAGCAATTTTTCTATTGATTTGTATGCATTTGTTTAGGTTCCTGAAAACTTAAATGTAATAAGCGGCTGAATTTAGTAACCAGTGAATTTAATAAGTGGCAGGCATTGTGTATAAAGTTACAATAAATGCAGATAACAATGTTCATTCTTAGTTTATATCTTATTAGTTAGTACACATCATATTTTTATTGTAGAAGTTAATGTTCTTTAAGTTGAGCATTTATGAAAAATCTTAGGACAGAAACTAAAATTTACATTTTATTACTCAGCATTATTAGTTCATTACTTCAGTCAATGCAGTTATGTCTGTCTGTTGCTTAATGTAGAAAAATACAGATAAACTGTACCAATTAAACCATTCATGAAACTGTTATAACATCTGCTAATAAAAGCCCTTAAAAATTTTAATTTTTACTATATGCTGAATATTTTATAAGTGTAAAAAAATATTAATATTTTTGTTTTTTCTTTTTAGTCATTTCTGACTTCTAACACTGATGACAAAAGTGTTACAGTAAGTAAAACTCTCAGCTGCATAATTTATTTTATTACTAAAGCTTTTAAAATTGCAAGCTTATACATATAATGTTCAAATATGTAACTTAATCTATAACTTTAAAACAAAAAGATCATATCTGCACCGTTTCTTTCATGCAGAAGTGAAAAATAAAGAGGGATTTTTTTTTCAATCCAAAATTCACATTGATAATCTGATTAGATGCCAACAGCTATGAATTGTATACAGTCAAAAGTCGTTAATCCGGACTCGTCGGGACTTCGGCGATTCTGGATTATCGATTTTTCCGGACTATAAATCATCAGTTTAAATCTAGTAAGATGGCATGCAGAAATTATAAAATTAAAAATATGAAACTGTAATTTATGAAATAAAGAAAAATTATGATCTAAAGGGTATCAAAATTTACAAAAAGAAAAAGCTTAATATTTATTTGTTTACTTTATTAAACATTTCTTTCAATGTAAGTTGATTCGTTTCATGTGATAATACTTTCTCTTTGATTCTATTAAACAGACATAATTTCTTGTTTAGTTACAAAGTTCCGCTGTTCAAGTCCTATAATTGCTGAGTCGAGAATACCGACTAATTTGTCAATCGAAATTTTTTCGTTTTCAATAACCTCTGCGTCACTTTCTTCACTATCGGAAGCGAATTATAATGATGAGGAACTTGATTTAAATCATATCAAAGACGGAGTACATCGAGGTGAAATACTGCATTTATTAAGGAATTATAAGCCAAATAAAATAAAAACATCTGCCTTTGAAGATAAGGATAGTGCTGACAGATCAACTTCCAATTCATTGCGCGTCGCGTCGTTTCCCTCCTCCCGCCGAGCAGCCTGAAATTGATAAACAGATTTCGGAATGATTAGATAATCAAAGGATATGCCTTTATCCATTTTTTGTTTAATGGACTTCGAAACATACTTTTGCTTTGTAGATCCTTTACGTATTAGTAAATATATATCTGAAATTCTATTTGACATAATCGAAAGTTCAAGCTTACTTTTATAAAATTGCTCTAACAGTCTGCAAAAAATAATAAGCCGTATCCAATTCAAAGATTAAGGAACAACGCAATCTGCAACATTAACTGAATTAGATAATTTTAGCTTAGCTTATACCATCCGTTGTACATTAAACGCGCATGTGTAAACGTATTATGCACATGCGCACAAGCATGCAGTAAAAATCTTACGCGCACCCGTAAACGTCTATGCGCATGCATTAACGCGACGCATGCACAGAAAACATGTAGCTTTGAGGTCCGGATTATAGATCATTCCGGATTATGGGTGTCCGAATTAACGACTTTTGACTGCATTAATCAATTTCTTTTAATAGCTGAAAATCAGACTAGAAAGTATGCATGGTATTGATTTGGAATAATAACCAGATTACTGTTTTATCGCAGCTTTCTAAAAGAATAATTTTTGATACATTTTTAACTGAAATATTTTAAATTATCAAGCTTTATTTATTTTTCTCTTGTTAATCATCAGAAAAAATCCTATATTGATACTAAATCATAAGGCTAAGATGTCTATAATGATTATGTTTTATATAAGGACATAATGAGCCAGTATGTTAAAAAAATGAGAGAAAGTTGAATTTGAGACAATTTTATAATATTTTTAAGTATAATTATTGATGCTTTAAAAAATGCTTGCATTTAATTTGGACTTTTCATTAAATTATTGTATAAATAGGGTATGTTTCTTAAAAAAAATTCTCTTCCCTCTTTCAGGTCATATTGAAATTTTAACCTGCTAAGTAGCATAGGTTTTTGTATCTGCTCATGAAAAACTGTATTTAAACAACATTCATTAGCTAAATTTCTATAATTACTTATTTTGTTCTCTGTTTTTGAAAACTTCCTATAGTTAAGATGATATTTACATCATTAAAGAAATTAAAACAAAATACTTTTAACATTTTCAGGGGTGGTATATAAAATAATTTAAATTATAAAATTTTTTTATGAATTGTAACTTATGGACCCTAAGAACCCAAAATTGAGACTTAAAAAAATCTAGAATGAAATCCTGAATTTTTTAGTAACCTTTCAGCGCCAGGCGACAAGTTTGAAATCAATGAGTTCTCCTCAGGGGGAAAGGGGGAAATGATGAAATTAAAATTTTAGCTAAGCAGCGACAAATGAAAACTCATCTGGAGTAAGCAAAGTATAAAAAGAAACATAAAATACTTTTATTCATTTCTAGCACAGTGACAGTAAACCCCCCATTCCCCCTCCGAACATAGCATTTAATTCTAAACAACTTGTAAATTAATCGTAAAGAACTGTATCACATTACATCGTAAACAATTTTAATTTAAATAAATTGTCACCTCACAGAGTAGAGAAGCCTGGTGCTGCCATCTATTGGTAAGGTACCCTCAGTATGTGAACTGGTATGTTTTATATACCGGTCTTAAAATCGTATAAATAATCTTCTTTTAACTATCATTTTTTATTGTGAAATGCAGTAAATATATAAGGTTCATCATCTGTCATAATACATTTGCAGATTCTGAATTCTTCCCCCAACTACAATAGAACTGATGACTCTCTAAACATGATGCCTTTGAATGAAGTATATTAATTTCATTACTTCAAAATATTGAGCATTCATAGTATAAAGGTACCATTTAGAATCAAATGCTAGAAGCTCAAGATTACAAGGAAATGCTAGAAGCTCAAGATTACAGCTTTTGGTGTAGAAAAATTAGCATTTTTTATGAGATAAAAAAATTGATGAACTTCAGATATATTTTATGTACCAGTTCCATTTAAAGGGTTAAATTATATTAGCCATTATATGCCAGGTAACAAGAAATCTCGCGATCAGATACAGTCCTGCTAGTGATGGGGTTAAGTAGGTAGATAACTTTTGTGAAACTCTTACAAAGAAAGAATAACTGTTCAATTATTTTTCTATTCCATTTTTATCTATGATAATAAACAGCTTGATATGGTAATAAATATCTTTTAATTTCTCAAAATAGCTCATTTTACTATTTCATCAGAATAGTACCACACTGTATTACAATAGGGGCCACTTAATGTGATTTGGATATTGTTATCGAATTGCCACCAATTTACATACAAAAGCATGGAAAATACATCTCGTGTTATGATCAACAGTTTTGTTAAAATGATCAAAATATAGAATAATTTTTTAAACTGAAGTAAAGTCACCAAATAAAGTCAAAATAGATTATTAAAGGTGTTTATTGACAAAGAAATGTCACCAAATAGGGAATTAACTTGCCAAACAGCTTGGTTTCAAATTCAGTTAACCATTTAAAATTAGACAAAAAAGCAACCATAGTTTGATGTAGATTGTGAATAGCTTTATGGATTTTGAGGGTGATCAGATACAGATCTATCTTCTTATGAAGCAAAAAAATTCTGTGGAACTCTGAAAACTTCTAAACCAAATTAAGATTGCTTTTTTTCTTTAATCCCCAATTTTAAATTTTAACAGGCATGTTTCTTCCAATGAGGAATGTCCTTCCGAGTATTAGGGGGCCAACCAGCAGCTGAGCGGTAAAGTCGCTGAACACTGGTAGCTCGGTTTGAGGTTCGAATCTCGTGAACAGGCTGGATGTATGGGCGTTTTCGTGGTTTTCCCCATGTGTAATGCGTATACAAGCCAGTTTCCCTTAGAAAGTCGTCCTCTACAGAGGCATCCCTCCCTTTAGGCAGATAGCCCTTGAGGCATTGCCATAATCACATACACATACTCCGAGTATTAGGGTATAGCATCAGTCAAATAATTTCCAAAAACGCCATGAATAGTTCATAAATGAATTTTTTGCTAGATACTATAAAAACTCGACTATCCAGAAATCTCGGAAAATGCCAAATTCTGGATATGCAAAAATACCGGTTAACTGAGCATATAAAAAATGCAGTTCTCAGCAGAAAAGAATGGAACAAAAAATGTCTGTAAAAAATTATAAAAAGAATCATTTTATTTGTTATCAACTTGAATAGCAAATGCCTACATTTAAATTGAGATTTAAAATAAATAAATAAATAAATAAAGCCATTTCAGATACAAATATCAATTACAAAATTCTGTTGAATATGCAATTTCTGGAGATCATCCCAAACTTCTGGCAAAAGTTTGAAGGAACACATCACTCTTTATAAGTTACAAGGCTTGACTATAAAAAACTTCAGTCACATGTAATAATTTTCCATGTGTGACAGCCAGTGTTTATCCATTTTCATATAACTTTCTTAATACCAGAATGCCATAATTTTGAAAATACTCTACTGCATACTATTCCATTGAAACTGAGTTCCAGATTTAATATTTGTGATTTAATATTTAAAATGTGCTTGGAAAAGAGATAAGTAGCAGTTAACCTTTATTGTTTTTACAAAAATGAAACCAATTTTTTGAGAATTATTTGGGTTAAACATCAAGCCAAAAAGAAGATCTTATGATTGGGTTATAACATTATGCTTATTATTAGCACATCATCACACCTATTTGGCAACAGTTTTGTTTGATTGAAGTTATAGTACTGTTTGTGTATCATGACGGAGTCACTATTTTCTTAATTTTTTCTTAAAAAAAAAAAAAGGGTTTGTAAAATTTGAAAATATTCCAGTTCTTTGAGCTTTCCAGTTAGTTGAATGCAGGGTACTCGAGCTTTTTCTGTATTATGAACATTTCATAGTATTTTGCATTTTCCTAATTAATATACTGGAAAATACTTATTTGTGTGTGTATTAAGATAGTTACATTTGATTGCTATTTTGGATATTTTTTTTGCTTATCATTTAGTGTTATCATTCAGTGAATGTTATCAAAATAGCCATTAACAAATGTTATAACATTGAGCAGAACCTAGTGTATAATTTTTGAACAAAATTAATTCTACTTGAATAATTTTTAATATTTTAATAGATTTTCTATCCTTCAGCAACCTATCAACTGATCTAAAAAGTGGTTAAAGGTTTTCATCTCTTTTGTACATACCTAAACTAGAAAAATGGTATACTGCTTTTGTTTATAAAGTTTACTGTAATATGTTCTATAATAACCAACAAAATTGAACTAATTATTAAATTTTTGTCTCTACGTAATATCCTGATTCATACATGGAAAATGCTTTGAAATCACTTTTTTGTGTCTTTTTAAATTCCTATTATTAGTTCACACTCTCCCTATATCTTGTTCAAATTTTCAATCATTAATAAAATACTTTTTATTCATCCATTCAAGTTCAAATACATTTTTTTTAACTTGTAGTGAATGACACTTGATGTTAATACAGTTTTTCCACATATTAAAGTCAATTCCTAAAAATTTTTCTTTGTTGACCTAAGTAGGAATTGACTTTAATTTTTTTTATATTACTTGTTATTTTGTAAACCATATGTCATGGAATTATATATTATATCTGCAATGTAAAATATTTATTATTGTTATAGATTTAATTTATAAAATACTGATTGCTGTAACTCACTATTATGAACCATATGTGGCTATATATATGTTGCAATTTCATTACTCATACAATATTATTCGAGTAAAAAAAAATAATACATCTGTGAGTTTCTGAGACTTTATATGTAATTATAGGCTGCCATCAGTTTACTCTCATCAAAATTAAATTTGTTGGATCCCAATTACCTGGAACAGATTGAAAGTCGATTACTTGTTCTCCATCAATGCATGGCACAAATTTCAGAGAAGAAACAAGCTGTTGAAGATGCTGAAAAGCAGAACAAAGTAGCTGAACTCTATGAGCTTGCAAAGAAAGTTGATGAATTAAGTAGCAGTTTGCCTCAGGTGGTACAGAGATTAGTCTCGTTAAAAGATCTGCATGAACAAGGTGGGTATTACTGAATAGTGTACAGTTTAAAATTCATACAGCAAAAAATGTGCTTAGATGTACAAAGATATATATATAAAGCTATCCATAATAAATTCATTATATATGATTATTGTGTGTGAATTAAAAATAATATTTTATAGTACTGGGAAAATTTTTAACTATATTTAATCATTAAAATGTAATAAAACAACTGATTGACCATGGAGACATCGTGATAATAAATCAGTTCTCATATGGTATGAAAAAAATTGAGGGATCAAATATCAGTAGGGTTAGCTGAGGAATTACATTGCTACACCTCCTATTCAAATTCCACTGAGTCTAATGTTTTGTTCATCCTAGAAAGTATCCTAGAAAGATAACTGTGTCTTAAATATAGGGATCTTTAGAGACGTTCGTACGGTCCTTAAGAGTCCTTAAGTTTTTTGGAATCAATTTTTGGTCCTTAAAAGTCCTTAATTTCGACCAAAATCGGCAGAAGGTCCTTAATTTTAATCATGTGAAATTTCTGTCCGTTTTTACGACAGCCATTTTTTCTTTAGTGTGAATTAGCATTTTGGAGGTATATTTTTGGTGATTCATTGATAAATATGGTTATCTTTTGAATGGGTTATAATTTGTTCCTATTTCTAATGTAAATGTGGGATACTCTAGTTTTTGAGCAAGAAGTGAAACATAAGCATTTAGAAATTATTTCACTTTTCTAATAAGAGATCTTAACAACTTTTCTCTTTTGGAGATGTGAATTCTTTTATTGAACGGCTCTAAATTTGGCATTTATCACATTTTGGCGATTTTTAAGATCAATTTCTATAGTAAATTTTTAATTCCAAGACCTGGAATTTTTCTATGATTTTTTTAAACATTGTAACATTCATAAATTTCATTAAAATAATGGTAATATTGAAATTATATTTAAAAATTAACATTATAAAATGTAACATTTTTATTTTTTGTTGTCATATTATAAAGTTCTATTTTGGCCACTTGTTATATCTGAAAACTTATCACTTATATTATATCACTTATTACTTATTATATCTGATCACTTATTATATTTTGAATCTGAAAAATAAACAAGGTATAATGCTATAAAGCACAATTTACGAAACATTTCTTAGCAAAAGCAAAATAGCTATGTAATTAATTAAAATTATCTTTTTAATTTTCCCATGATAAGAGTTTTCTCATGTTATTGTCTCAGAATATTCAGAATTTTTATGCATCAGTTTTCTGTATAAAATTAATTTAACACATTTTTCCTGTGATTTTTTTTAAAAAATATTTCTGGCTGTTTTCTGTTACAAAATTAGTAGAGGTAATTTTGCTTTGGGACATTAGACATTACAACTTGAAGAAGGATGCAAGTTGGAAAGTTTAGAAGGGTTTGAAAGCAAGATTTATAGACTCACGATTCTAGAAGATTCTAGAAAAATGTGACAAAATGAAAGATATCTCTATGGTATTAACATGTAATGGGTGTATTTTACAGAAAGTTTGCAATGAAGTTCTTACTTTTTGGAGAACATCTAGAAGAACAATGAAAAACATAATATTTGAATGTTTTACTTCTGATACTAGAATCTTTTTCTTAACGTGTTCGTCTTCCCTTTATTTTCTCTACTTTTTACTAGATACAAGCATGGAAAATATTGAAAATGCTTCTAATAGTATCGCATGGAGAGGCATTATAGAAAGGAATTTTTTGATTAATAAAGAAATTTGAAGCTGGCAGTTTTAAAAGATTAATATAATATGTCTTAATGCATCATACACAGGTTTGACGCTAGGCATTGCCTCACCTGGTGCAATCGTAGAACATTAAACTTATCTCTGTAGATCCAAAATTTTGCTGACTAGTGCCTTTCAAAATTCTGCTTCCAGTGCCTGCTCTAAATTCTAAAAGTTTTGCCATGTCTAGATTTTTTTGCTCAGTGTGTCACTAAATTCTAAAATTTCTGCCACACCAGCTCTGTAACCGGCCTTTACCATATATATTTCATATTTCTTCTGAATGTTCGTATTACTAAAGAAATAAAATTAGCAGCTTTTTCCTTACATTCTAAATGCATCTAGTTTTTTTAGAATAACAGAAATTCAAAAATTCTAAAATGAAAAGGAAGCATGTTGAATAAAGAAACCAAATACATAGAAGGAAAATTATTCTTCAAATATATATACAGTTATTATTATGTAAATTACTCACTTCTTTATAATTTCAGCCTTTACTGTAATTTCCCATTTCTATTTCCTCCTCAGAATGCAAATCACTTAGACAGTTTTTAAACTGAGGTTTTTCGTGCGCAAGGCAGAATTGTTTTTAATCTCCGCTTGCTCGCAGCATTAGTTCTTGTCAGCTCTGATAATTTATATTTTTTTTTCTGCATTATCACTGCTGACATTTGAATTTATTATGACAATAGAGTTACTGAGCCAGCTTAAATTAAAATTAAATTGTATAGTCTTTGACCATTGGTCACATTTTTTGTTTGAATTTGACCATTCTTGTTTAAATAACATCACCAGGTTGCAATTGATTTTGTTAACATAAGACCATGCTTTAAGTTCTTTTTAATAAGAGCCTTATTTAAACCTTGTAGTTACTTTCAGACATAGCAATAATTTACTTCACGTCTATCGGGGGTTTTGGATATAACTTTACCAGATCAAGTAAACCCTCATAGTACATTGTGGAGAGGTTGACAGTTAGGAGATAAAGCACGCGAACTAGAGAACAATGGTTTGCATATTGGAGAAATTTCTAATCTTAGAAAAGATGCTTAAAGAGAAGGAAATTATGTAAATTAGCCAAAATGTCTGGGCAGGCTTCAAATTAAAAAGATGCATAAATGTTTTGTTGAGGGTTGTTGCTATAAAACATAAATCTTTTATAGCTTTTAATGTATAATTATCCTAATATCAATGGCATAAATTGCATGTATTTTAAACTGTGAAATTTTATTAGATTGTGATTTTAATAGGGCTTTTTAAGAAATATTCTTAAATAAGTAAAATTTAATTGTGGTCATGTAAATCCATGATGATTAAGGTTATCTACTCCTAATTTAATTATTTATAACTAACTGCTTACCCTTAAAAATTATCTCTGCATATTAAAAGAGAGTTATTGCCTTTCACTAATCCTTATCATAGTACAAGATAAAACACAATGTAAAAATTCATTTAAAACTTATTCTTCATATCTAGTAAGACCTGAAATAATGCAAAGCAACTTAGTATTACCTCTGGTGCTTTAGTGCTTATTGAAACCTTAAAGTATATTAACTGGGTTACAACCCCTGGAACCCTACACGAAGCTATGACACTAACTGCATCAGACAGAGCCCAGCTAACTTTCAAAACATGCCAACCGTGCCCACATCAGGTCTGTCAGTTTTTTTCTGATCAGCTGCTCTATCTATAGGCAAGGAGCAGTGGTCACAACAGCCAATCTTTTGTTATAAATAATTCTGATTATGATTTTGCTTCTCATTTTAACTTATACCGCTTTACATAAAATCTACCTGCTATTTACTAAACCTCCAGATTGAGCAAGTATGTGACAGATGAGACATTAAAAAATCATATGAAACTATTAGTAAAATGTAAATAAAATGTCACTTATCTTCTTTCAAATAGCCGAACTATTATAAGTGTAAAATATGTAATGATATTTGATAAATTTCATAAAGTGTATTTTTTCTCAAACTGTTAATAATTAATGTTACTAAGTTAGTTTTAATAATAATGTAGCCTACTATGGATATATTTTATTTTTTGGATGGTATTACAAAAGGAGTTCAGGCATAGATAATATTTTTAATTGAATTTATAAATTTGCTATTTGCTCATAGGTCCTTAATTTTTTCATTAACGGTCCTTAAAAGTACTTAATTTCCATGTGCAGAAATGTGTACGAACCCTGAGAGAGCCTTTTAACTATTTAGAACTCATATGAGTATTCCTCAAGTCATGACTGGGTAATGGTAGCCAGTATAAGAGCACATAGTTCTATCAAAATAAATTGTCCATATCAAGATGCATAAAGGTTATAAATAGGTGTAAGACAATCAACCAGCATTTTCTAGTAGCATGCTGTGTTTAAAGGCTGTATGGATATATTTTGTTCTGTTGAACTAAATTGCCTGCATCAGGATACATAAAAAATATGAAAAGATACAAGATGATCAGAAACGTAATTTGGTAGCATGCAGCATATAAGTAAGTATCTAATTGTTCCTTCAGAATGTCTCTCATACCAGTATAGAGCTGGTTCAGTCTTAACAAAAGCTGCCAAGTTGGATATATGACTTAATGGCACTTTATCTATCATTCTGGGGAAATCATTCTTGAAACAACATTATCTATCATTATCATTCTTGACACAACACTTTATCTATCATTTTGGTGAAGCAGGCTATGCAGTTAAAATTGTATGTCATTTGTAATTTCTGCATGGAGATTCAGTTTTGATGTTCTGAGCTATAGGCAAAGCATAGTGTAAAAAATTTCGTGGAGTAGCATGTTTTTTTAATATTAGCTTCATAACTTATGATTTGCAGTAAGAATTCTATTCTGTATTTGCTTAATATCGCATAAAAAATCCAGCATTGAGTTTAGATGTATGCATACCTGTGCTGCCCTTTGAAAGGTCTATGCCACACGGGATATTTTATCAGGCATGGCCAAATTGTAGCTGTTTGGCTTGTTATAAGCTCATACCAGTATATCTGTGTTGCCCTTTGAAAGGTCTATACCACATGGGCCAGTTTATCAGGCTTGGCCAAATTGTAGCTGTTTGGCCTGTTATAAGTTGCTTGTAATGTAAGAAGAAATAATTTTATTTCAAAATGTAATTACAACTTAAAGGCAATATAACCATGTTCAGATGCAAGTTTTTAAAGTCATTTATGTTATTATTTTAATTATATTCTGCATATGATAATATCAGAACAATTCCCAAATGTGTGCATGCACCAGTTGTCATAGTATTCAACAAAAAACTAATAATAATGCTTTTTCTCTGATTTAATGTTGTTGTAGTGTGTTTCTAGAGCAAGTACTAATAATTAGAACAGCAGAAGATGACATATACATTGCCCATGCATAGTACCTGCCAATACTGCTAAAATTTTACATGATGACACTATGTATAATTGTTGCTTGCACTGAAAATAATAACATGCATTGTGCTGATTTTGTGCAGTGAATTAAATAATTTAGTAAATTTTCACAACTCGATTACAATTTCTCAGCTTTACCTATTGCTTTATTATACTTGTTTTTATTGTTTCTAAGATTAGTTAATGCATATGTTTAAGAATAAAGAAATCCTGCTTATATCATGAGGATTCAAATCCTAGAGAAGACATGGGGACATTTATAGTGGTCTGTATTCCTTGCACATATAATATTGTTTGCCCCTTTGTTCCAACAATCCTGGTGTTAAAATTGCTAAATAACTTATGGATTTGGTCCATTTCACAACAAAGACTTAATCAGCAAGTATCTGGCCATTGGAAGCGGGGGATTCTGCTTACCATTTGCATGTCCCCTCTCCTAGTCAAAGCAATTTTTATTCCTATTTATGTTATGAGTAATCTCTTTTTCTGCATGTTTAATGTATTTTGTTCAAAAGCGTACAACTTTAAGCATGAAGGAATGGTATAATTTGTAGGTGACTGAAATATATCAATAATTGTTTTTATTAGATATACAACTTTTCCCCCCCTTTGTTAGGCATATAGTTTTACCATATAATGTATAAACTAATTATTAAATATTTACAGAATGCTACATGTGTGTTTATTCAGTGCTTATGTAACATGACAGTGTTAATGAATATTCTTGTGCATGTATGATAAATTACATACATAATGAAAGTATTTCATTTATAGTTAATTAGTGTGATAAAGTTTTGATTTAAAAAGTTAGATTAAGAAAAATATATGATTAAAAAACAGTTTTAATCAGGATTTTATATTTTCTGAAATTGTATTTGAGAACTTGTGCAATATTTTTAATACACTTAGGGCTAAATACATTGAGGAAAGGTGTAAGCAGTGTATGTAGTGATACATTCCTTAAATATAATGATACATTTCTTAAATATAAGTTTCAGTTATCAAAAATCCTTTGAAAACCTAATGATAAATTAATGTATAAACACATTATTAAATTTTATATTTGTTTAAATTTGAACAAGTTCTTTTATAACTTATTTTGGTTAATAAAACAGCATTTACTAATGAACTTGCTTTATTTCAGGTGACTCATTTGGCTATTAATTCTTTGCAATAATTATTACCCCCCTACACAAAAAACAAAATCGCTGTCATGTATGAATTCAAATCTTAAATCTTAAGAACATTTGATTATCAAATTGTGTCTTTGCAGTCATTAACACTTAGTCTTATTTTTTTTTAATCATTTTGAAATTGGAGCAAAATATAAAAGTTAAGATCTGATGTGGTATTTGGAATGAATATGTTTGTCCTCCATTCTGCATGCGTTCAAAAAGATAATGAAGTAAATAATAGAAAATGAGTCAGAAGTGTTGAACTGTATAAAATAGCAATAAATTAGTTGCTTCAGCTTTTTGATGTTATTAGGTTAGCTTGTTTTGTAGATTGTAAATTTTTTAACTTTATACTGATTTACTTTTATTTGTTTTTCAGCTCTCCAGTTTAGCAAAGCTCTTACTCAATTAGATACAACAGAACAACAAATAACAAATGCTTTAAAAAATAATGAAGTAATGTTAAAAGAAGTATGTATTCAAATTTATTTTACAAATTAATTTTAAACTAGTTTTGAACAGAGTGGATATTTTTGAGAATTTAATATTTGTATTGAAAGAAAAAATGTGCATTTCTCAGTCTTATAACTTTGACATACTGAAAAGTTAATATTTTAAAATCCTGCTGTAGCATACAAAAGATGATTATGATGCTATTTAGAAGATATATTTCACTAAAGTATTTTCTTTATATAGGTTTTTCCACTTTATGAAGGTAGAGGAAACCTTTCATAAAGTGAAATGGTATAGCATTCCCCCATCTCTCAAAAAACAATCAAACAATAATCAAATAGTGTTAAAACCTGAAAATGAAATTAAGAGCCAGCATTATATGATTTATTAACAAACCAAATAAAGGAAGAGAACACATTAATAAAGGTGCTGGCATCTTTAAGCACGTTGGTGAATGTTTGCAATCTCGGAAACATTCACAAGAATAGTTGTCGCATTTATAAAGGTCAGTGTTAACTTGAAAAAATTGGGACACTGATAAAAGTTTTGATACACTTGTGCAAGCAAATGTGTGTAATTTGATTAATGTGGCAAACAGAAATCTTACTCTCATAACAGTGCTCACACTTTAAACAAGATTGCTCTTTTTTTTTTTAAAGAACTGATTTTTATAAACTAATCTTTAGAAAGATGAACAGGCAAACTACCTCTTTAATTGCACTAACCGCTATCTGATGACATAATGATACAGTGATGAACTCAAGTATGTTAGGAGGAAGACATTTTATAATACCAGTGCATCCATTGTTTTGGCTGCGAATATCACATTAACCCGTTCCACCCAACTTTTGCATCATTAAAATTTATTTATGAAAAGTAGTTTAATTTAATGTTGACATACTATAAGAAGTGTAATATGAGTTTAAAGTTTTTAACTTTACCCATTTCCTGAAAATCTCCTGAGATAATGTGTCCCAATCATATTGTCAACTGGGGCTATTTGTCCCAGTCCTCTAGGATATTACCCTTTCTCAGAAAACAAAACTAAAATGTGTGGTAATATGTAATGTGAATATTACAAAACGTAAACTCTGCCACATGCACCAGTTCATATGCAATAAAAATTTTCATATATGATTCATAAACATAATATATCAGCAAGTAATAATTTGATCACTGATGAGACATATTAACCCACTGTTCAGTACTATTGGGACAATACAATATATCCTGCAAAAATAATTTATTCAAAATTCCTTAAATCTGAATTTAATAACATAATAACCTGACATAATCTGAAAAAATTAAATTACTACTTAAACAATAAGAACTATTTCATACTAAGCATGCCTTAGGTATAATTGTATTTACTGTAAAATTATAAAGAAATAGACAAATCGAAATTTAAGTAATCGTCGGGGGTCAAGAACATAAGCATGCCATCTGCAGTTTAAAAGTTTTACCGGGTTTTGTTAGTCATATTTGTTCCTTAATTCATTAAAAACACTGCAAACGTAAAAACCCATTTAAAAGTGGGCTTTATTTTCCCAGTAGGCTATGAAATCTAATCTCTGGGACGTATGTGTCTTTTAGGACCGAAATGGTTAAAGGGCATCAGGTCATAGACTTTTCACTTTCTGCATTTGTGCCAAGACTCATGTTGTAGTGAACACTGACTGACCTGCAAAATACGCTGCTCTGCAAAATATACTGCTCAACATTGAAAATGCAACACCAAGAAGGAGTGGTCAGAAATTTATGCAAATTTTAGAGTAGACGCACGTCACCGAGTTATGCGAATGATGTGAAATGCGCAGCTCTCCGACAAACTTGAAGTAAGATATAAGGGAAGGAACATGCAGAATGGGCAATATTCGTGTTGTTATTTCTGCCTTTCTGAATTATCGAAGAAAGTTGGTTTTTGTCCCGGAGGATATGTGTAATAGGAGAGAATGCCAGGCCGCTGTCAACGCAGTCACTTCCAGTAGATAGATGATATTACGAGGGGTATGGTGATCAGACTGAGAAGGGCGGGTTGGTCCTTGCGTCAAATCGCAGCTGATATCCACAGGGATGCGAGCACGGTGCATCAGCTATGACGAACATGGTTGAACAAGGAAATGTGGGAAGAAGGAGGGGTTTAGGTGCAGCCAGAGTGACACGCCGACAAGCTGTGGCGGTCCCGCAAGTCACTTGTACCGCGATCCTGCAGCATGTGCAATATACCCTGGATGTTCCCTGTCGACCAGACCAGTTCCCATGATTGGTTGACGTGGCCTCACTCACGGCGCCGTTAAGAACTGCCATTGACCCCACGATAGATGCCAACGTTTAGAATGGTGCAAGACTGGAGCGATGTGGATAACAGAATGTCAAAAACGTTGTGTTCTCAGATGAGTCACGCTTCTGTTTATCCACTGACAGTCACCAGATATGTGTGTGGCTTCGACGTGGAGACAGATCTAATCATAGTAACTGGAACACCCCACACAACAACATGGCATAATGGTTTGGGGTGCTATTGCCTACGATTCCAGGTCACCTCTAGTTCGTATTCAGGGCCTGGTTTCATTCAGTTCTTTTTTTTTGTTCAGGTTTCGATTTAGTTTTATGATCAGCGTTATGCAAGCCATGCAAGATGGATTGATCTAGAAATGACACAGTCCAGAAAAGTTATTATTACGATTTTTAGGACAGAGAGGGGAAATTAAGGGGTTACCACTAGTTTAAATTATAATTTTGATTTATATTATTTTTCATCTGACAATAAGGACTGTTTGGATTATACAGTTTTTCTGATGTAATTCAGGCAATCAAAACTGCCTTGTAGTCATGTGCTCTTCCTTAATTAAAGTCAGCTTTACCTTAAACTAGGAAATTTCAGTTTCAAGGAGAGATATGATCAGGTTTTTATTTAGCTGTTAAGTATTTATTTTATGAAAAAATAGTTCTTTATTAAATTTTGGTATTTATCAACATTTTCTATAATTTCTTTTGCTTATAAAATTTATTAAAATATGATTTAAATAACTACACATGTATTTTTTTCCTTTTGGAAAGAAAGGTGCGAAAGTTTATCAATGGTGAAATGAGTGAATGGAGGGGGAGGGAGTTTAAGAACCACTGCCTTAAACACTACATGATTTTCACAGCTCATATTTTGTTCATGAAAGTGAAAATATTAATTCTTTTAAAAACTAAGAATGACCTTTTCTAAAAAGCAAAATGGCTTAAAGTGGAGTATGCCAGTATATATATTTGTAATATAAGTCTATATAGGTATTTCTAGAGGCAAGAAATTAATGGTAATATTCTTAATTTTTCTGAAATATATTGAAAAATAGACATGTTGCTTACATTTAAGTATATATTTTAAATAAATGCATTAATTGTATAGATGACATCTGATATTGTCATCGGTTATTTAAATGCAGCTTATGTCTGTCATGACTTAAAACTTTAACAAACTGTAGGTACCATTTAAAGGGGAAAAATTATGGAATTATTAATAGCATAAACATTCTGCAGTTTCTGGCAAAGAAAAAGATAATTTTCTTTTATTATGTGTATTGAATTCTGTTCGAAATTCTGCTTAAAAATCAAATTAAAAAAAAAAATATTGGGAAAGTTTAAAATACAATTTCATAATGGATGATCTCTCTCTCATTGAAACATGTTCTGTATTTCAAATAATAAAAATAATGGAGGAAAAAATTTTGCGACATTTGAGAAATATTTTGTTGGAATCATAACATTGTTATACAGTTATTTTATAATAATGAACAGTTAGTAAATCTGCTAATCATCATCATTTTCTTTTTCAGGTACAGGCAACTTTCCTGAAAAACATTGAAATGATTGAAACTAACATTACTAGTCTAAATGCCAGAATACAAGCCTTAAAATAATTAATTCTAAGGATCGCTAAGTTTCTGACTAGAATTTTTGTGTAAATCTTTGGCTTCAGTGCTTTATATAATTTTTATTTAATACATAAACTTGGGCTAAATAAATCACATTCATACTGTCTTTTCCTCTCTTTTTAGAAATTTCTGATTGCAAAACTTCTGGATATGTTGATATTTTGACAGTCATTACTACATTAACACAATTAATGCCTTAAATTTGCTTGATTAATTAGCAAACGTAGCATTCCATATAGACAGTGAGTTAGAATATACAGGGTACAACATAAATTCATACAAACTTCAAAAATTCGTAAAAGAAATAATGCTTGGGAAAAAAAAATTGGTTTGCATGAATATGACCAGATGAGCATTGAAAGCACTCGCACATCATACTGAGATTTTATGCAAGTCAGACTAGCAGTAAAACACCAGGCTGGAAACGGATTTGTCATTTAATGCCAACAGCATGCTATCATGACTAGATCGAACATTTTTACAAAAATGGTGAATTGTGAAAGTTTCACATGGAAAAAAAAGACTGATATTGTAAAAAAAGCTCTGTTTTATTCAGTGGGATACTGAATTTAGTATGTTGTTTTGAACAAAAGAAGTTTAGAGGATCATCCTTAAAGTGGCAGACCGTATCCATGCTGTTCAAAGTATCATGAAAGAATGGACAGCTGAGACATCAACAAGAAGTAGCAATGCTTGTGAAGCTAGGATAATAACAAGGATTCCATAATCATCGATTCGAAGTATTCTACATGACATTTCAAATTTGTAGCTGTGCAAAATACAGGCACTTACTGGCAGATACATATGGAAAACTTTGCTACGTGGGCGCTGGCACAAATGGAACGTGACCTACAATGGTTGCTGAATGTCATGTGGGTGAATGAAGTCCGCTTTTCACTGCATGATGACATCAGTATGCAAAACAGTTGCTTTTGGGTGATGTCAATTCCTCATGACTACCTGACCAAGTTACTACATCCTTCTCATGTGAGTGTTCAATGTGATTTCACCCTGTCTTTCATTCTGGGCCCTATCTTTTTTTGAAGAGGGTTGTCCTGTATCCAGCTGGAAAACCTGTACTGCCACTGCAGAATGGTACATTACACATTTGCGTGACCATGTTGTGCCTGCATTCCAGTCAAGACGCGCTACCTGTCGTCACCTTCATGGTCAGGTGCCCCGCCCCTCATTGCACTTGAAGTCAAGACTTTCCTGTTGGAAACTTTCACGTAAGAGCAAGTTATAAAGTCAAGGTGTAAGTGGTCATCACAGTCACCCAGCTTGATTGCGACAGATTTTTGGTTGTGGGGGTACTTATAGTCTTGTGTGTACCGAGCGTCCCTATCCACTTTGGTGGCACTGATGCCGTTCGACAGATCATCAGTGGCATTGATGCCAGTGTGTTACCCTCAGCTGTAATACACATAGTTACATACCTCACTTGCCTAGCTAGTGGTTATGTTGAATATCTTTTACTTTAAAATAAATGCAATGCCATGTTATTGTGAGTTTCATTATCTGTTTCTGTTTGCCTGATTTGCATAAAACGACTCAGAATGATGTGTGAACGCCTTCTTTTGGTTACTTTTAGAATTTTTTTAATACATAGAAAAAAATCTAACATCCCTCTGATCATACTCGTGCAAACTGAAATTTTTGAAGTCATGTCATTATAGTATGTATGAATTTATGATGTACCCTATGCAATTAAAATCAAGTTTTTTTTATTTATGTTGCAGGCATAAAGAAATATATGTCTATTTAATGATTAATAATCAACATATTTTACTTTTTTGATAAAAGAACAAATGTATGTAAATGTGTAATATTATTGTGCTACTAATAAAATTTTAAAAAAATCTTAGAAATGTACACATAGTAATCTCTTTTAAAATAAATTTTAATAAAAGTACACATTTTATATTTCATATGAATATTAATTAAATATATATATCTTAAATTTCAACTTAATCAAGACTCATCAGAAGACTGATGATGACAAATGTTATATCACAGTACATGGCATTAGAAACATCTTTATTTATTACAATTATGGGACAAATGTTTTTAAAATTATCTTTTGAATATATGATTAATTATAAGAATTAGATGCCTTATAAAAGAAATAATTAAAAAAAAAGGTATAATTATTAAGTACTTGCATTGCTTTCAAATCATTAAGCAATATATAGTTTTAAAGATCTTATGTCTTACAGAATGACAATAGTTATAAAGCCACACAACTATTGTATAAATAAGAGCTTTATATAATTATTAAAAAAGCAAATGACAAAGTTACAGGAAGTACATATATTGGTCACATGAAGATAGAAAACCCAAATCAGTTAGCCAAAAATGAATGAATATTGCAATCAATATTGTAATAATCAGCCTTTTCCTTCAGATGCTAATTTAAGCTTTTTTTTTTTTTTTAAAGTGCTTTTTGACTGCATTTAACTTATTCATTTATTGCTTTAATTACGTTCACTCTAATTTGAGATTTTAAAAATACTAAAATTTATAATTACATTGTCCTATAATAGTTTTATATCAAAATCTGGATTTCTTAGATGCTTTATCAAATTTAACATTTTTTGTAATAAATTTTTTCCAGTTATAATATTGTTGCAACAAAATATTAACAGATGGGAACAGGTTTGTATACATGTGATGTTAATAACAACAACATAGCCATAAGATATTTGAAATTGCTTATTTACATCATATAATCAGACTATTTTCATATTGCACTTTCTCGAAATTATACATAAAATGATGAAGAGTCAGTTATGGCACTTTTATTCCTAACAAAATGGCATTACCACCTCCATGATCAATCTATATTTGACATTTGTTTGTTGATAACTGCAATAACAGTATTAGTTTAATGTCTTGGTTACTAAGAATATTAGTAGTTAATGTATGAGTGGCATAATATATTTTTAATAAATCAGATATAGATATTTGTTAAGTCAAAATCCCCAAACTGAGTCTAGTCCTTCTCAGTTCAATTTAACAGTTAAAAATATATTGATATTCTTAAAATGTTAACTATACAAGTCCATGCAAAAAAGAAAATTTAGGTATTTTTTTATAATTAAAAAGAACTGTACATACATATGTGCACTAAACAGAAAAATTAATACATAATTCTCCTGAAATATAAGTCAGCATGGAACTGCAGATATTTTATTTAAAAAGACATACAGAGACCGTCTAAAATAATGAAAACACTACACTTAAAAAAGTCAATTTTGTTTCTGTCAATTACATAGTAAACTAAAAGTAGTAAAAGTACTAAAGTTACTGTTTTGTATATGATTATTTTATATATATTCTCAAAGTTGTGCAAAATTACAAACTTCTTTTGCAGTTTTGAAACAGTTACAAATGAATGACTTTTTCAAGTAGCAAAGAGGTTAAATTCTTCGAACCTGGCTCGATGGTGCATCTGTAACCAGTGCAGGATTTATGTATAAGCTACACAAGCTATAGCTTAAATATTTAAAAAATTTTAAATATAGTATAACAGACTTAGAAAGGGCTTCCATATCTCAAATAGCTTAGGGCCTCATCAAGTCTAAATCCGGCCCTGTCTATAGCCTCATTTAGAAAATTATTGGAGATATTGAGATGCTGTGTCTGAAGACATGACAGCATACAATAATTATGACAAAAGATTATCTGCATAACTCAGTTATCAGAGGAAGGCAAAACTTACTCGTAAAACCAAAAGGATGATAAATATAATTCTGACATCAAAAAGAAAAACTATTGTGACAAAGATGATTACTGAGCATAATGCATATCTATCCAACTTAGTTTCAACACATATAATATAAATGGACATAGGTAAGAAGACACCTCATAACCTTGTGCATAAGCAGATACCTAAGTATAGTATGTGTTTTGTTTCACAAATAAATGTAAAATAGAGACTGTAGTGGTGGTGCCAGGAACATAAAATGTGGAATACTGATCAATGAAAATATGTACTGTATGAAAATACTATATTGTACAAGTCAACCTTCACACTATTCAATTCGGGAGTTGAAAGAACACAAACATATGCTCATAATCTAAACTGTCTGCATCCTACATTAAATTGTGGTGCTTGAGTTATGCTTTGGACAAAAATATTGCAGTTTATGACCTTACAAAGAAGAATAAATAGTAGTGACTATGTAACCCATTTTAAATGATTTGTGTTCCATTCTGAGGTATAGAAATTATTTCTAATGAGTAACTGAATCTTTCAAGATGATAGCACTCCCATTCAACAATTCAGATTGTTTAATCTTTCAATAACATGAAGTTGCTCATCTTTTCTAAATTGCACAATCATCAGATGTAGTGTCATTAGACCAGTGTGGGCTGTGCTGGAAAGTAGATCAAGATTCCATTTTCTTCTATCAATTCCACAACAAACTGGAGCAGTTTCTGATTAGAAAATGGTATGAAATAGCTAACATCATTCAGAAGTTCTATGCTTCCATTTCAAGAAAAATTCAAGCAGTTTTGGATATCAAAGATGCTCCTATACCATATTATATACAAAATTAATTCCCATTTTGGTCAAACATTATATCTTGCACGTTTTTTAAATAAAAATAACATTAGTCATAAAATGTTAGTCGAGTTCTAAACATGAAGAGACCACATACTGTTAAAAAATACAGTGAAATAATAAAGATATTTTACTTTCAGATGTATAATTTATTCTCATTCTGATAGGGAATGTAAATGTAATGTTTCTTTCAACTGTAGTATTTAATTTGTTCAAATGTGAAAAAAAAAAATTACACTTTTGTTTTAGCATGTTAAAAACTCTTTCTCTTTCATTTAGTTACAAAGTAAAATATATAAATAGTTGCATAAATTGTATAAATAAAATTCAGTATTCAGTTTTCTTTCTATATACATCTCTACCTTGTACAAACCACAAAACTATGCAAAGAATAACTGTAGGAATCACGAGCGATGTTGAGAATACTGTTGCTGGAAATTCTCCCTGTAAAGAAATTTCATTTGTATAATAATGATTTTTATGCACAATTTCTTTTTAAGAATTTATATTCATCTAATTAAGTTATTAAAGAGCTATATTTAGAAATATGACCACAAGAAATAAATATTTACCAATACATTCATGTGACAGTCTATACATAAAATCTTTTTTTGCGTGTTTGTGTTACTATTGAATGAAAAGCTGTAAAATTAATGCTACATTACTTTTTCATTTAAGCAAGTAACTTCTTTTTAACTTGATAAATAACAATAATTACTAAATTTTTATCAAAATTTACGAATTCATGTAAGAATATAAAAATATGAATATTGATAAAAGATTTATTTCAATTTAACACTAAATGTTCATGACAATTAAAAATCAACAGCTTATTTTTAGTGCCTTTATTTATAGTTAAGTTCAAGTATATATTCCTATAATTACATAATCATTGCACATTTATTAAATGAAACAGCATATAGCATCTGTTCAAACATTTCCGTTTCCTTTGCCAAAACTGCAACTATGACATCTAAACATAGTGCCCTCAGATAGGAAAAACACAGGCAATAAACTTTGATATCAGCTATAACATATCTTGTCAACAAGTGTAATTATATCCAAAGGTGGTCAGATGGATACAGCAAATTATTATAAAAAATTAACATTTGAAAATATTGTTTGATCTGATTAAACAACTTGCACTGTGTCTACTGAGTAGTTAAATAAAAATCTAACTACTCGGTAAATATATTGCAAGATAATCCAAATATGATTAAAGTGACAACTATTTTTTAGAAACAAGCACAATATGAAACTACAAACAAATGGAATGTAAAGGTGATAACAGTAAAAAAACTAGTTAAGATACACTGCCCAACACAGAAAATGCAACATCATAAAGGATCGGGTGGAATGTGATGTCGACTAATACACAAACAAAGAATGCATTTGCAAATAAGTGGTTATTTATAGAACGATAAATTTATACAGTGTTGAAATAGTAAGAAAAAGACTAGAAAATATAAATATTGAAATAGTAATACATGGAATCAGTAAGATGTATGACCATCTTTCGCAGCCATTGCAGACCAAGGAAGTAATCGGACATGTTGCAAGGCTTGTTGGCTAATGAATGTCGTGTATGGTGTTGTGTTGTCCTGCTGGAAAATACCATTTTGCAGCTACTGGAGGAAAGATAGTACAACCGCCTGCAGCACTTCATCAACATATTGTTACGCCATCACTAATCCTCTGATGTGTACTGCTATCATGACCGTTGGCATGGATCCCTGACACTTAGCCGACGAGACACTTAACCGACAAGGAGAGTTAGCCGTCAGGACATTCAGCCACAGATATTTAACTGTCAATACATTTAGTCTACAGTACATTAAGCCAACAGTGATGTTTAGCTGACACGTACCCAATAATTATTTAAACTTACTATTAATTACAAAATTTCTTGACTTCTCCGTAAATTTAATATTTATACCATTTTTTAACTTGTCAGTAAAATTCATTTTTTGATTCTTAAAGATCCCATATATGCTTTTAATTTTAGATTCCTGTCAAGATCCCATATATGCTTTTCATTTTGTGTAATTAGCATAGTTTGATATTTTTGCTGTTGGGCTATGCCAATTGATAAAGCGTTGAAATTTCTCATCAGGGAATATGAGGCACTATGCACAAAATCCTGGGCCAGAGCCCTTTCCCAGATTAATAAATATACGATGCTTAACATGTAAATAGCATTTCAAAAAAATTAAAAAAGTTCCAGTATGGTGAGGAGTTGGGTGGATCACTAATTCCTGACAGGGAAAGGAAATTTCATTAGTGGGGGAAGCAAAATGACTTTATACAGGAATGAATGTAGTATAATGTGTTGAGCAAAGTAGTAATGAAATGTGAAAGTATTAGAAATATGAAAGCATTGGGAAGAGTAAGACTCATTGTCAGCTTAATGTCCTGTCGGCTAACTGTCCGTATTGGCAAAATGTCCTGTCGGCTAAGTGTCCTTGTTGGCTAACTGTCCTTGTCTGCTAAGTGGTTGTTCGCTAAGTGTCCATGACCGTGATGGCACATCAAGCCATTATGCCATGTTGACAAGCTGTGTGACATTCAGCAATGGTAGTCGGATTGGTTTTATCTTCCTGACACGTCCAGACTTTTAAAAGGTGACTATCATCAAACAAACAAAACTGAGACTTGTCGTTGAATACCACACTGTGCCATTCGGATGTCCAAGTGGCTTATTGATGACACCATCCCAGTCATTTGTATTGATGGTTTGGCATTAATGGTAGTCTTTGCAAAGTGTGGCTTGTGTGCAACCTGTTTTCTGTCAAACATTAGTAACTGTTCTTCCAGATATTGCATGGAAACCAAAACTTCCTGAACAATGTCCATAACAGTCAATTTTTTGGCTGTCACCACTTCTCTTAGTATGCATCAATCTGCACATTCTGTAGTACGTCTAGGTGGACCTGATCTTTCACGACTATTTACATTTCCTTCATCGATCTATCTCGGCCAAATTCTCTGCACAGTAAAGGCACCTAAATGTGTTTCAGCAGCGATAAGACGGTAAGATCAACTAGCCATACGTTAGCCTTCAATTTGACCCCTCATAAAATTATCCACTTGCCAGAACTGCCTACAGTGTCATTGTCCAAGCACCTCTTCAACCACATATGTCTTCTAGAACTTTGAACTTCTCAAAATTCTGGATTTCCTAAGTAACTGAGAGTATTGACTATTGGTTCATCAGCTGTTTCCTTCCCTTTTAACTTGCATCTTTTATCATTTTCATAACTTGATCCACTAGGCATTCCCCAAAAATTGCATATTTATAAGGCTGAAATTTCATGGTGTTGCACTTTCTTTGTTGGGCAGTATATTTCACAATTTGGAATCTCTCAAACAGCAAGTAAGAGATATAGATATAGATGCTGATCAAAATTTGCCTGTCTGTTGAGGTCTCTTATGAAAAAATGAAAAAAAAAATATGCATGTAATATTATTATGATGTAAGATCTTTCTTTACTAAAGACTGCAATGAAAAGAGAAATTCCTATGTTTCTCTTTTGGGAGTAAAATCTTACATGCAAGAAGCAAAAAGTAAGTTGAAGCATCTTTAGCTGCATGATAGCTTTTTGGAAAATGTTTTGCCAGAATGTTTGTAATGACTTAGTTTTACAATTCATGAATCTTTGTTTTGACAATGGTATTGCAGGATAACTGTGCATTGTGAAGAAGATTTGTGGATTTTAAATTTAGAAGGTTTGAATGATAATTAATGATCTTAAATTTGAATAACAGTATAGATATCAAAACAACATTCCAAAATAACAGTCAAAGAATTAATGGCATATGGATATAGATGCTACTCAACACAAATGGCATTTCAAAAGAGGTAATAGGCAAGAAACTAACAGAATATGTATTTGGATTTAGCTATAGATGCTATTCAAGGCATATTTATTTGTGGATATCTATTGTTAAAGAAAGGAGTACTACAGTGATTATCATAATTTTAAAATATGTAGTAACATAAAGGGATTAATTAATCATAGTAACCAATAGCAAATTATTCATATTTGCCATTTATTCATACATCCTATTATGGAACAATACCACTGCATTTATATGTCTGATCATTTAAGTAAAAAAAAAGGTTTTGTCCAATCTTAATTAAATACTTTAAAATGTACTTTAAAGATGATCATAACTTGTAGCTATGTTTATGATGCTAATCATGTCTGTGATGACATGGTAATTGAGATGAAGACAAAAGGGGAGAAAATGGGTTGGAAAGCATTTGTGGATCTCTTCTATAGACTCAGTATTTATTTGTACATGTGTTAGTTATAACAAAACCATATGACCTATTTTTTCAGTTTTCCTACCATATTTTTATTGTTTTGTGCTTGAAAACTATAAATGTCAATGAAGCAGAAGTGCACATTCATTAATGATCTAGCAAAAGACTTTGCAAAGAATTCACTGAACTAAATAAATTAAGCAGTGATAAAACTCAAATGGTATGATTTCAACAGATGAACACTATTAAAAGATCAAAATTGCTTACATAAATTCGGGATGACTAATACAGATTATGTAAGCATGAAGATATGTAGTTCTCTTTATATCAACATAAAATATTTTGTGTGGATTTTTTGAGGACATATTTTAAATTCAACATTTTAAAGTAATAATGAGTCAATACTACAACTCTTTGTAAATCTTTCAATACCATATGCTTGATGAAACTCCTCCTCCAACTGGCCTATTCTCATACCATCACTCAATCTTCCAAATGATCACCAGGTCCTTAGTTTTTTAATTTTTAGGCTTTACAAAGAAAAATGCTCCCAGGCAATAAATGTATTTTATTGAATTAATGACACTTAAATTGTGCAAATTCTTTTCCCCAAATTAGAGATTTCTAACATAATTTTTCTCCCTAAATTTTATATGGTTTGAATAAAGGCAGCCCTTGACTTTTGCACAATTCAATATTTAGCACATTTCTAAAAATTCAATTTATTAAAGATTTTTGTCAGTATTGCAAAAATTGTTCACTTGCTTTCACAGAGCTCGCACTCACTTCCACACAGCCTTCTAGAGTAGTGGACTTTTCCGAATCATACTGGGATCATTAGGGTTCTGAGATACTGTGATGGAGACGAAATATATACCATGCATTAAACAGGTTTAGATTGAATAAGAGCACATGCTGATGTGTTGGATGTTTTGCTAATTTATTTGTTTATGTTTCAATATTTTGTCCTTATAAATTTATAAAAATGAGTGAGAAATGGAGAAACTGCAGTGTTGATGCGAACAAAAAGACTCATAAACTTCATACAATCGATATAGATAAAGACGGAAATAATAAGATGTTCTGAAAGTAATGAATCTTTTGTTTCAAGTGCCCATTCACGTGATATAAACAGGTATACAATATGTTCAGTTTTGAAAAATAAGAACAAATTTAAAGAATATGTTCAAAATTGTAAAAATATATCTTCAAAGAAAACATATCCAAAAGAAACAGCATAGTCTATTTCGGCATAATAATGATAATAATAATAATGGATAAAGAAATAATAATAATGAATAAAGGCCATAATATAATGGATGAAATGGAAATTTCTTTGTCATCGTGGATTAATTATCAATATCAAAATAATGTTCCTCTGAATTTTTCAATTATTCACGCTATATCTCTTAATTTGCATGAAGATTGGAAGATTACATTAGAAGAAGATTCTAACATGGTGTTTCAAGCAAGTAGTGGATGGTTTGACAAATTTAAAATTAGATATGCTTTACATTATATTAAATTCACTGAAGAATCAGCTGATGCATATAAATATTCTACAGAATAATTTATTTCTTCATTGTCTAAAATTACTGTGAGGAATATTATCTTAGCCAAATATTTAATGTAGACAAGATGGGTTTACTTTTGGAAAAAAAAAAAAAAAAAAATGCCTAATCATACATTTTTATCGAAGGAAGAATTAGTTGTCCCTGGACATAAACCTTCTAAAAACGAATTGAGATTGCTTCTTGGTGGAAACTTAGTTGGTGATTTAAACCTGAAGCCAATGTTAGTTTATGAAGCAGAAAATCCCACAGCATTGAAAGCGAAAGATAATGAATTACTTCCAGTTGTTTGGAGATCAAATAAAAAAGCCTGGGTTACCGTGTTAATATTTAAAGACTAGTTCACTTTGTATTTGATGCCATCAGTTAAGAAGTATTTTAAAGATAAAAATTTATATTTTAAAAGTTACTTATCATAAGACAATGTTCCAAAGTGCCCAAAATCTCTGCAAAATTTATATCTGGAAATAAATGCTGTATTTTTTTTTCCAATACTACTTGCCTCATACAGCCTATGGATCAAACAGTGACAGCTACATTTAAATGAATTTGTAAAAGGACAAAAATGAATTAGGCCATCAAGACAACTGACAGGGATGGTGGGCCTGAATGAGAGATTTTTAAAAGAACTATAATATATGGTACACAATAAAGGAGGAATGAATAATATTGGAGACTTGTGGGCTGAAACAAAGATTCAACAATGAAAGGTTCCTGGAAACAATTATACCTGTAAATGATGAGTGATTTTATAAATATCAAAGAAACCCAGAAACTATCACAGATGAAATAGTTAATAATCAATGGACCTAATAAATAACTAATAAATGAACTCAACTTGTACATGAGTGATAAAGATGTTAATTAGTTGATTGAATCTCACTCAGAATGAGTTAATTGAATTTCACTCAGCACCTCTGTCAAAATACATAATGAAAGTGAAGAAAAGGCTGATAAAATTGTCAGGATTTTGAGAATCAAAAATATGAAAGCAGCTTTCATACATCTATATGAAATTTTGACTATCCTGGAAGAATGTGATCTCAGTGAAGTACTTATGTACACAGACTCTTTAGAACTCTTTATCAAGAAAACAAAAAAAGATGGTGGAATTCAACTAACTATCGACAAATTTACAAAGAAAATGCCTAAAAAAGCTTGAACATGTCTCATCATATAAATAAATAATATAACTGATAAATAAATATTTCAAAATACAATGCTGATTTTTTTCTCCCCCACTCTACTTTCAAATATTCAACATCTGCACACATTTTTAGGAATCAACTATGTGTGAAAGTTGAGGGCTGCTTGTAGTCTTAATCAACAGTAGATTTTTAATGAAGATTCAAGCAATGTTTAATAAGTTAATAATTGTTATTCGGTTATATTATGTAATATGGTACAGCAGTAAGTTTACCTACAAAACAGTAGGTACATTAATTATTCATTTTATTTTTATTGTAATTAAAAGTTCTTAAAAATTTTCATACCTATTTAAGATTTTATCAGTATAAAAGAGTATGAAAATTACAAAATGAAACTAGCCAAAGGACATAAAATTTAAAATATCTGATTAAGATTAATATTTTTATATAATAATCATATTATGAATAGTTCGATAATCTAAATCCTGCATTGTACAATGTATTTAATTTGGTTTAGAGTTATTTTAAAATGGAGTCACTGTGCAGTGCAAAAACCCTCCAAAAACTTTTCGCAAAACCTCTCAGTTTTTCATATTTGAAGGTTGGCAGCTATGGTATTATGTTCAGCTTATGAACTGACAAGGAAAATACAAAAAATCTGATTCTAAACAAACTAAATTAGAAAAAAATTCAAGATTAAAACATCATTCATACTATACAATTTCAAATCTCATAAAACTAAAGGTTTTATTTTCAGCAAAACTAATTAACACATATACACAGAAAAAAAGTGGTTTATAATCTTGGACGAATTTTGATAGTCTTATTTAAACAACACACATTATATGTTTCATACAGTTGCTAAAAAAATCAAAAAATGTGTTTGAAACAGTACCCCCTCCCTAACATTTGCAAGATGATTATATTCATGTGTTCTACAGAGTTCTTAATTGGATTCCCAACAGAAAATTTCGTTTGGGTAAAAGAAAATTCCTTTTTTATTTTTTTCTAATTCAAAATGAAAGGACTACACACACAGATGCCGTTATCAACAGCTATCCAAAATATAATTTTATATAAAGTCCCAACTTAAATGAAAAAATATTATGAAAATATATCCCCAACAAAAAATACCTCTATATTCCATCACAGCAAAACAAATGTTCAATTTATACAATTAGAGCAAATTTTGGGGGAAAAAAAAAACTTACATCATTCAAACATTTATAACCATGATGACCAGGACAACAAACACACTTAGCAGACCCAGGACCAGTGTGTTGGCATTTAGCATTCTCTGGTTCACCACAAGATACTATAATTTAAAAAAATATCATGAAAAAAGCAGCTGAAGCAGGAAATTTCTAATTAAATTAATTAATAATTCATATCTAAGCAATTCATTTAATTATTCACAATTAACATACTTAAATACACAATTTTTGAATTCATATTTGAAATTAATCCTGTTATTTTAAATCAGATACTTTACAGCTCTTATAGATTTACATCACATACCACTGAGAATTAATTTGCACTTCATTTACACATAAATATACAAAATCTTTGGTGAGTAATATGACTTATGGTAAACCCACTGCTGGATAAGTTATTTATG